TGGCAGCCTGCAGGGCAGCACAAGGTGGCAGCACAAGGTGGCAGCCTGCAGGGCAGCACAAGGTGGCAGCACAAGGTGGCAGCCTGCAGGGCAGCACAAGGTGGCAGCACAAGGTGGCAGCCTGCAGGGCAGCACAAGGTGGCAGCACAAGGTGGCAGCCTGCAGGGCAGCACAAGGTGGCAGCACAAGGTGGCAGCCTGCAGGGCAGCACAAGGTAGCAGCCTGCAGGGCAGCGCACAAGGTGGCAGCCTGCAGGGCAGCACGAGGTGGTAGCCTGCAGGGCAGCCCAAGGTGACAGCCTGCAGGGCAGCACAAGGTGACAGCCTGCAGGGCAGCACACGAGGTGGCAGCCTGCAGGGCAGCACACGAGGTGGCAGCCTGCAGGGCAGCACACGAGGTGGCAGCCTGCACCATTTTGCAGCAGCCGGATATCCGGTTATCCCGATTACCGACTTTCCCAAAATTTCAGGGGGGGCTAAGCCCCCCCCAGCCCCCCCCCCCCTGTGGCTCCGCCCCTGGTTGGCATTACGCTGAGAGACGGGAAGTGGAACGCGTGGATCAGATAAGATATGCCAGTTGCGGATATTGATAATAATTACGAATCGTGAGCTTAGGCCGGACATGGTCAAAGGCTATTGCGAGCTCCCTCCGATTAGCACGGTTGGCTACGTACGGTGGGAAACAGTTTCAGTTCAGTTTAATTTATTTGGTATAGCCCTGTGAGCTATTCGGCTCTTTAATCGGGTGCAACCGCAACAAACAAAAATATGAACAAGAAAACAAAGTCTTCCAGAAAAAGCGCCGTATGTCAATGCTGTGTGCAAAAATCCCAGTGGGATGCAAGTCAAACAATAACAACCATAAGACAATTTAGATTAAAGTTATCAGACCAACTCCGTACTACAACAAACAAATATGGCTAAACCAAAACGTTGTCGAAATGACTAAAATAAAGTTATAAAAACAATGTAACAGTGATCATTTACAATAAACGATATACATAGTATGCACTACCAAACTTTGCAGCCATAGCTGGCTGCATGAGTCACTCCATAACAGCAGGAGTATCAGTAGGAATATCAACATTTTCCAATGCACCTTTAAGATCAGCACACTATAATCAAAACTCAAGATCATACTTTGCAGCAGTCATCCGGAACGATACATTTGATTTCAGGCCACTGAATAGCAGTGGCAGCTAGGGGTGTACAACTCCTTTAGAGCAGTTTTGAGTGAAGATCTCACAGGTAGTGATCCAAGTTGCAGTTTATTGGCGATAGCATTCCAGACCCTGGGGGCATCAATAGCAAAGGCCCTTCCTCCAGTATTTGTACGGCAATAAGGAATGTGAAGCTGGTAAATGAGCGAAGACCTTAGGTCACATTTCGATTTAAAGCTTTCGTGACTGCAAGGATTCATTTTCTTTGGTTCTTTCGGTAAAGTCACGTAGAATGAGAATAAAATAATAAAATAACAATGAAATTTTCACGACGTTTCGGCCACAACGCAAGCGGCCGTCTTCTGGTGAAAGGTACAGAACTGTCGGGACGACAGAGCTTCAATGAACGATGTTAAGATTCGTAGCGACTTTTAAGCTGGTTGGGAGAAGTGAGGGGCCTTGACAAAGGGGTTTACATATCAAATAGCTGAGGGATTAGCTTGTGACTGGTCACGGAAAAGGCTATGTTAAAGTCAAAACCTACACATCCACAGAGGCAACTAGTAATTTAGCATTGAAATAGCTAAGGGATTAGCTTGTGCAAATAGCTGAGGGATTAGCTTGTGACTGGTCACGGAAATGGCTATGTTAAAGTCAAAACCTACACATCCACAGAGGCAACTAGTAATTTAGCATTGAAATAGCTAAAGGATTAGCTTGTGACTGGTCACATAAATAGATGTTAAAGTCAAGGCCTACACATCCACAGAGCTTCAATGAACGTTGTTAAGATTCGTAGCGACTTTTAAGCTGGTCACATTTGTTCTTCGAAACAGAAAGGAGAACCAGCAGGTAGTCTGCGGATTTTTATGTAAGTACATCGTGAATAATTAAGATAATAAACAAGTTCAACATGCGTCGCCAGCATTGGCCACTGTAGTAACATCCATTATTGTGCTGTACTTGTGCTCCAGTGTCGACATAACATCTTCCAATGCCAAACGAATTTTGTTCAGAGCTAGCTTAGCCCTGATCTCTGAGAGAATTAGACTGCTCCGCACTGGACTGGATCATGTAGACAAGACACTCTTGAAATCACACTTAACATTAACGGAATAAATGTCTACATCTGATTGGGAAGATGTAGGTAACATGACCGCTTTATCAGCCGCTACAATGTCAGCTAAATGTAAAGATAACCTGATTTCCAAGTTCAACCTCCTTTCCAAGTAGAAACCAGATCCATACATTAAAAAGTTAGACGTTGACAAGGTTGTTATTAATCTGTGTAATAGCACAATTTCCGATGGTCTAAAGGCGGTTTTGGCTAAAGGATTGAACTTCGCAGTCACCCCCAAACACATACCAGTGGATGACATTGCTCAGGTCGATGTAGCTCTTAAGGGTTTGGGACACATCGCTGCAGACGTGACCAAGATCTAAAATCGCTGCAACCCTCAAAAGCGCTAAGATACCAGTCAGCAACATCAGTAGTAAGGAGGAGCGCTTTGAGTTATCTCAATTAAAAAAGAGGGAAGATATCGTCATCCTCTCAGCCGACAAGGGCAATGCCACGGTCATCATGGATAAAAAACGTGTACAATAACAAATTTCAGGACATATTTTATGATGGTAGCTCACTAAAATTAAACGAGATCCCACCAACTGTCTCGTTACAAAAACGAACAGTATCATCACTGATTCAGCTTCATTCATTGAACAGACAAAACGGTTTTCCTTAAAACCTTCTGCTGCTAGACCACCCAGACTATATGGATTGGCTTACCCACATTCAAATTGGCCCGATAACTGTCTGAGATCTTGCAGCCATTCACTGGGAAGTGTATAGTGTATAGTAGTGTATAGGATGACCATTGATATTTATAAGGGGTACGGGGTGACCAATAAGGTCTGTAATAAGGGGCCGTACATAAATGACGTTACGCACCTGGGGGGGGGGGTCAGACATTTGTGACGATGTGTGACGAGGGGGGTGGGGGGTTGAGAAATGTGACGCCACATAAAAATGCGCAACTTTAAATAATATAGACAACACGTTCTACTTAATTAAATAGACTTTTTAATAAATGTTTTCTCCTACAACATCGGAGTGCAGCGCCACATTAAATACGCACTACAATGACAACAGTTTAACAGCATACATTAAAACAAATTCGTCTCCCCCCTCCTCTTTTCAGAACATAGATGGACTAGTCCTTCTAAATAAACTGCCAATCGCTGCGCGTGGCGCTGACGGTTTTTTTTATAAATAAATACACCGTTTAAAAATAAATAAATTTATGCAAACCGACACACCTGATGACGACCGTTTGTGTTATGGTCGAAACGTCGTGAGAATTGTTATTGTTATATATATTTAATTATTTTATTGTTTCCCTTCAACGTGACTTTACCGAAAGAACTAATAATATTATTTGAAGCATGTTTTATACATTTTTTGGGGGGGGGGGGCAGAGCTTTGTGACGTCATATTTGAGGAAGGGGGGTCTGACTTTTTATGACGCCGTGTGACGAAGGGCGGGGGGGTCAAAAATCGTACAAAATCGCGTGACGTCATTTATGGACGGCCCCTAAAGTAGGAATTGATAACGGGTTGACGGGTGTGGGCAGATGCAGTGTGCCATCCTCTCCGCCAGGCGGTGCTCGAGTCACGGCTGTGCTCATCTTAAAGGTGCATTGAAAAATTTGATACGCCGACCGATGCTTCTATTATTGTGGAATAACTCATGCTCTAGGATTTGGTGTTACATGTTATTATTTACGTAGTTTATTGTAAAAAAAAAATTCGGTCACAGTCCCTGTGATCACTGTCACGTTGCAATTATGTCTTTCTTTTTTGGTGATTTTCGAAAACGTTTTTTGGTTTGGACATGTTTGTTTTGTTGTAGTACGGAGTTAGACTGATGGCCTTAATCTAAGTTTTCTTGTGGTTATTGTTGTTGTTTGACTTGCATCCCACTGGGATTTTTTTGCACACAGCGTTGGTGTACACGGTGCTTTTTTCAGGAATATTTTGCTGTTTTTTTTTCCATGGATTTTCTGTTTGCACAGTCACATAGTCACTTTAAGATGTTTTTCTTGTTCGTGTTCGTGTTTTTGTTTTTTGTTTGTCGTGGTTGCACCCGATTCAAGAGCCGAATGGCTCACAGGGCTATACCAAAATAAATAAACTGAAAAATAAAACTGAAAACTGTCTGCATCCCCCACGGCGTGTTTGGGGCCGTCCATAAATGACGTCACGCGATTTTGGACGATTTTTGAACCCCCCCCGCCTCGTTACATGGCGTCACAAAGTGTCAGACCCCCCCCCCCTAAAATATGACGTCACAAAGCTCTGCCCCCCTTCCCCCCCAAAAATTATAAAACATGCTTCAAATCGCTTTAAAATATTGTCATTGTAGTGCGTAATTAATGTGGCGCTGCACTCTGATGTTGTAGGAGAAAACATTTATTTAATAAATTCAATTCAGTAGAACGTGTTGTCTATATTTATTTAAATTTGCGCATTTTGATGTGACGTCACATTTCTCAAACCCCCCCCCTCCCCCTTCATCGTCACACATCGTCACAAATGTCTGACCCCCCCCCCCCGCCGCCCCTAAGTGCGTGACGTCATTTATGGACGGTCCCTTATACAGTCGTAGCGACTCACAGCTCTCCCACGTGTTGGTGTGCAGCACTGTATCCATACACAACGGTGGGGGGTGCAGGGGCGGGTGCAGGGTGGAGGGGCGGGGAAAGTGGGCGGAGGGGCGGGGAAAGTGGGCGGGGCGGGTGACGTCATCACCAAAGCACGTGTGCAGCCCCGGGGCGGCACCACAACTCAGGCGCTGGGGGACTCGGGGGCGTCCCGTTACTCCGTCGCGTTATAACCCCTCGCGTTGCCATCGTTACTCGCGGTGCTCACTCAGGCGGGGTGGGGGGCGGGCGACCAGACCCCGAGCAGGACTCTACGGGACTCCTGGGGAGGGGGGGGGGTCCCTCACTCGTCGTCTCCTGGAACCAGAGACGGGACCGAGGGGGACCATGGCTGAGGAGGAAAGCGCAACATCAGGTGAGGAGGGCTCGTGGTGAGGATGGGTGAGTTGGTGAGGAGCTTTGTGGTGAGTGTGTGTGGTGAGGATGGGTGAGGAGCTATATGGTGAGTGTGTGTGGTGGGGATGGGTGAGGAGCTATATGGTGAGTGTGTGTGGTGAGGATGGGTGAGGAGCTTTATGGTCAGTGTGTGTGGTGAGGATGGGTGAGGAGCTATATGGTGAGTGTGTGTGGTGAGGATGGGTGAGGAGCTATATGGTGAGTGTGTGTGGTGAGGATGGGTGAGGAGCTATATAGTGAGTGTGTGTGGTGAGGGTGGGTGAGGAGCTATATGGTGAGTGTTTGTGATGAGGATGGGTGAGGAGCTATATGGTGAGTGTGTGTGGTGAGGATGGGTGAGGAGCTATATGGTGAGTGTGTGTGGTGAGGATTGGTGAGGACCTCTATGGTGAGTGTGTGTGGTGAGGATGGGTGATGAGCTTTATGGTGAGTGTGTGTGGTGAGGATGGGTGAGGAGCTTTATGGTGAGTGTGTGTGGTGAGGATGGGTGAGGAGCTATATGGTGAGTGTGTGTGGTGAGGATGGGTGAGGAGCTTTATGGTGAGTGTGTGTGGTGAGGATGGGTGAGGAGCTTTATGGTGAGTGTTTGTGATGAGGATGGGTGAGGAGGTATATGGTGAGTGTGTGTGGTGAGGATGGGTGAGGAGCTATATGGTGAGTGTGTGTGGTGAGGATTGGTGAGGACCTCTATGGTGAGTGTGTGTGGTGAGGATGGGTGATGAGCTTTATGGTGAGTGTGTGTGGTGAGGATGGGTGAGGAGCTTTATGGTGAGTGTGTGTGGTGAGGATGGGTGAGGAGCTTTATGGTGAGTGTGTGTGGTGAGGATGGGTGAGGAGCTTTATGGTGAGTGTGTGTGGTGAGGATGGGTGAGGAGCTATATGGTGAGTGTGTGTGGTGAGGATGGGTGAGGAGCTTTATGGTGAGTGTGTGTGTGGTGGGGATGGGTGAGGAGCTATATGGTGAGTGTGTGTGATGAGGATGGGTGAGCTATGAGGGCTCCGGTGGGGGTTGGTGGTGAGGATGGGTGAGCTGTGAAGAGCTCTATGGTGAGTGTGTGTGGTGAGGATGGGTGAGGAGCTCTATGGTGAGTGTGTGTGGTGAGGATGGGTGAGCTGTGAGGAGTTCTATGGCGAAGTGGTGTGGTGAGGATGGGTGAGCTGTGAGGAGCTCTATGGTGAAGTGGTGTGGTGAGGATGGGTGAGCTGGTGAGGAACTCTATGGTGAAGTGGTGTGGTGAGGATGGGTGAGCTGGTGAAGGGCTGTGAAAAATAGTTTTTTAGTTAATCGGATTCCTCCAGTATAAATACATTTTCGGAAAAAAATATTCTGATTCTGAACTGGTTATGGTGTTTCTGTGGTGAGGCATTTTGACTCTGGCTGGTGAGCTGGTGAGAGAGAGAGAGAGGTGGTGGTGGATGCTGTGTCATTGTAGGGCTGTGGGTGCTGGCACTCTGAGCTGCAGGTCTGGGTTCGATCCCTGCACAGGATGGCCAATGTCTCAAGTTTGCTCCTGTGGCATTACTGTACCGGTATCCCTCAATTTACAAAAGGGATTCCTTTTTTAATAACCACACGTCCAATTTTTTTTTTAGTAAATCGGAACGGCTTTTCCTATGAACGTAATACTAAAAATGAGAGATGTGTTTCGCACACTCTTTTCAGCTCCTAACCTAAAGATATAATACTGTACGTTTATATAACTTTTCACAATACAAGTACAAAATAATAATACAGAAAGTAAATATTAAAACGATTGGCTCACAATTCACTTGAAACAACAATATTTAACTCCCATGTGCGAGGGCAAAACACTCGATCCCACACAGACGGAACATGTGGAGTCCACATTTTTGCTGTACCGCCTAACGAGCCCAGGGTATGCCACCAGCCTCGACGTCCACGAGAAGGGAGTTTCACTAACTTTGTGCGGTGATCCACTAACCCTCGCCTCCATAGTGCTGGATTACAGGCGTGCATAGCCACCACCACCTTGCAAAATCTCGATGATGGCTTCCCTATGCTGTCACCATCATCATCAGGAGCAGGCCACTGGGCGAGGAGCCAGGATATCCGTCACCTTAATCATCATCAGCCACGATTGATTCACTACTGGATGAAAGCCTCCAATGTACCACTGATGGCTTATTTTTTGCTTGTCATTACGCTTCGAGCTTGAGAACAACAAATCGTCCAAGCAATGCACCGCAATGCAAGTTTGTTGTTTATGAGAGCGCGTGATCTGATCTGGAGAGCGGGCGATCTGATCTGGAGAGCGGGCGAACGCCGTTTCATGGAGAGAAAATAACAGCTCGGTTATCACCGCCTCACTGCCCCCTGCGAGTTGTCAAGGAGTAGACAATAAGCGAGTCGAAGACTGGTGGAAGAATGATTGGGAGAACACAAACATCAGCTCACTTGCTCACCTGCCTCTACTGGACATCTGTGAAAAATAACTTCTTACCTCATCGGATTCCTCCAGTCTAGAATATTATCATTCATCCTGAATAAGCTGCTCATTGCCGATATCTCAACCACCACCGCCCAGCCATTAGGAAGCTCTCACTGCCACCCTCCCCGCATGCAGTGGGCTACCTTACATCCTACCCGAACTGGCCACAGCTGGTGCAACCACCTTTCCACAAATGGAAAATAAAATAATTCCCCAAATGCGAATACGGCGCACCTCAACAAAGAGTGGAACACATTGTGGGTGTATGGGTCTCTGTGTAACCCTGTGGGTCTCTGTTTAAATCTATGGGTCTGTGTGAGGCTGTGTGTTTCGGTGAACCGACGGGTCTGTGTAGGTCTATGGATCTCTGTGTGATTTTGTGGGCCTCAGTGTGAGCCTATGCGTCTGTGAATCTTTGGGTCTCTGTGTGAATCTATGGGTTTCTGTGTGTATCTATGGGTCTCTGTGGAGTCTGTGGGCTTCAGTGTGACCCTATGCGTCTGTGAATCTTTGGGTCTCCTGTATGAATCTGTGGGTCTGCTGTGTGAGCCTATGCGTGTGAACTCCCAGGACATGAGTGATTCACGCTCGCTGTCCTCTGCAGCCAAGCAACTGGATAAAAAAATGTAAACATCAATTTACAGTGGCTACTCAATTAATATCCATTGCGAAGGAAAAAGAATATCGAGTGAAAACTAGAGAGTGTAGGACGGTGCGTGTTTGCATAAGGCGAAAATAGAGAGCGGGGATTGCATGCCATTCATCGACCACCTATGAACCACAGCTGCGGTGTTGGTCCAATGGCAGTTGCATTGCATTGAGTATGGTTAAGTGTGGTACAGGCCTTGATTGCTGGAACAGAGTGGAATTCCAGCTGTCTCTGTCTGTTCCCCCGACGATTCCGTTCCTCCTCGCTTCTGGCCCACTTACACCGGAACCGACTGCCCCTACACGTCAAACAATCAGCCTCACTGTCCATTTTTCGTTCTTCTCGACAAACTCACCTTCCCTCGCTTACCCGAACTCTCCTTCCCCCTTCTTCCCCATCATTAATACCATCCCTCTTCCCAACTTCCCTACCGATGCATCGCACTCACTCATCATCATTAAACAACCCATTGTCACTCTCATCATTGTTTATTTATTTCACGCATCATACTTATGTAAGACCATCCCTCTCATCAACTCATCTCATCTCACCACCATCTTCTGCTGTCCAAATACCTAATTTTTTGTTCAGCGCCTTACTCAAGGCGCCATATAAATTAAAATGCGATAAGACGTGGGAAGGAGTCGAGCGAGAGGAGGAGGGGAGAGGTAGGCAGGGACGGGTCCGTGAAGTATGCCAAAGACAATGGTGGGATCTGAAGACTGGGAAAATGTGGTGTCATTTGCGGGTGCGATTGAGGGGCCTAGTGGCGTTGTTCTCAATCAGAGGATGCCACGGGACCCTAAGCAACCAGTTCCGTTAATATTTACACAGAAAAGCCTTGCTTGGGTCTCAGGATTATTTTGTTCGGAGGGTCCTGCTGCATTTGGACGTTTGATCGATTTCATTTGTAAGCTTTTAGCTTTTTTTGTCGGAGGAAACCAGAGAACTCGGAGGAAATCCAGCACCGCGCTGAATGCGAGGGAGCGGCACTCGGCACTGCTATCTCCTGGCCACACCTCGCAGCCCACGCCCACAACACCTGGCAAGCCGTGGTGGTCATCCATCTAAGTGCTAACCAGACGCAAACCTGCTTATCTTGGAATATTTGAAGAGAACGGATGTATTGACAGTAATTTGGTTGTCGGCTTTAGACTGCCTCGGCCGAACTCAAAATGCATAATGTGTTTTATATACAACCTAGACTGGACCGCATTGCAGAATTCTCTACAGAGGACTATTGGTCATCGGCAGGAACACAGGAAGGGGGTTGACCCTGGCTTCAAGAATTGATGGCACGGCAGGCTGGGGGGACGATAGTTTCAGATTATGGGGGGCAGCAGAGGAGAATGAGTGACCTCTCGCCGAGCCATTGTTGACCTGAGGCCTTTCATAGAAAGCCTTTGGTTGTTGCAGCGGAGGTTCCGACGGCAGCCCTCGAAGGCGCGGAACTCTCGAGTGCAGCTGACAGGAGGCGTGGACACCGCGTAGGAAGTGGTTGCCACAGCACCCCTAAGGGAAGTGGCGGAGGCCCAGGAGGCCTCCCTCTCAGCCTGCCCGCTGACGAGCCCGGCAGTCCTGACGCTCGTGCAGTTCCAGCGACGGGTGGCGGCGGCGGTGGTGGTGGTGGTGGTTTCCCCGCTCTGCTCGGCCCACGGTTGGGACTGGCCGGAGTGTCCCGGCCGGCACGGAGAAGGTGGAGACGGCTGCACAGCGCTATCTGTGAGATGCAGTCACAGCTGAGTTTGTGGAATCGAAACTGATTGGGGGGGGGGGTGGTGGTGGTGGCGGGGCAAACAGCCTCCTCATCGCCACGTCTCACTTCCTCCACCACCACCACGGCGGCACAGCGAGACACCCGGCATGGGGAACCACGGCGAGAAACGGGGACAGCGAGAGACACAGAGGGACACAGCGAGACACAGCAAGGTGCTGCGATATATAGAAAAACACAGCCAGACGTGGGGACATGGCAAGACACGGGGGACAAATTAAGAAACAGCGATATGGAGAGACATGGGGATATTGAGAGAAAAGGGGATACGGTGATACACATGGACACGGTGACACACGGGCACACGGTGAGTCATGGGGACACACTTCCCCAATGAGACATACATGAGTCACCCGCCGTTTGAGAAAGTCATCGTCGTCACGTGCCTCTGATACAGCAAAGTGACCTGCGAAGCATCCAAAAAGCACGAAGTTACAGCTGGTGGCTTCGCATTGTAATTTTGCTGGCATGCAAAACGACAATGAGAAATGCCGGCGACAGAATGAGGACTTGTGATGAATGCCCTGGCAGTGGAAATGCCGCGTTTTCCTGCGCACAAGTCGCTCTTGCTCACTCGGGTTTTGTGCCATCGTGGACTTGTAATCTCCCGACGTTGGAGCTGCTGCAACCAGAAAGCGACGATGCGTGCAACTGTATTGGCGGCCGTAGCGGAGATGTGCGATCTGATTTACGTTCCCCGGGGCGACAAGCTGATTCGGATCCACTGCCTGTTACCGCATTACTCAAATGAGGACCGCAGCCCTGAGCCCTGCGGCGCAACTGGAGCAGCAGCAGTAGCAACAACATGAGCAAGAGCAGCCGCCAGTAGCGGCAAAAGCATTAGTAGCAGCAGTAGTGACACAAGCAGCAGCAGCAGGAGTAACAGCAGAATTAACAGCAACACCAAGAGGAACAGCAGCAGCTGGAGTAAGCACCGCAGAAGCAGGAACTCAATGCCCATCAGAGACATGGTGTCGTGACGACGAATTTGCCTTGAAAGGTCTCAGTGGGAGATTTTAAAATGTCAACTTAGAGCAGGACTTCTCAAGACGCCATTCGTCACGATCCACCATTTCCGCATTTATCTGTCTGCTTCGTTCCATTACAAATTGAGTCGATGCACTTTTTGCACGCACCGGGTAATGAGTAAACGCGTGCTGCGGCACGGGGCCAGGCGTTATTGGTGGGTGACGAGGGCGGAAAGCCGCGAGGGGTACCGAAAATGAGTTAGGAGAACTCAAAAATAGATTTGACCAAATGTCAAGCGTGCGTGATGAAGTATTTTTGTTATTTATTTAAACTAAACAATGTTTTGGTTTATTTTACCGGGTAAGGCCTACTGAGCTACATAGCTCTTTTAAAAAAAAACAAAAAAATTGAGTTGTTGATGATGTTTTGTTTTGTTAGTTAGAGTTGTTGTTGAGACAAGTTGTTGATCCTGCTGACAGTTGTTGAGACATATTAGCCAACCGTGCTAATCGGAGGTGCAAGGGAAGGACAACAAACAAAACACCAGTTCTAAAGAAATGAGTTTTCAATCCAGATAATGTAAAAGTGCATAGCTTCAGTGGCTTCCTAATATCAGAAGGAAGAGCGTTCCAGACGGCCGCAGAAGTGCGAACTGAATGCGCGCGATGCAGTAACCGTCTTTGTTTGATGGTTAGTCAAAAGCTGCTGCTGCTGCTGCTGGGAGGGTGACCGGAGTTGGCATGATGGTTTATGTTTCCTGACCAGTTCAGCAAATTATCGTGGTTCATTTGTGGCAAGCACTCTGTGTGTAATGAGTGTAACCTTAATTTTTTGATGCTGTTTGCAGTTGCTGAGGCAAATTGTTGACGTCGTTGTTGCTGCGCGTGTTGCCGTGGACAGGCAGCTGGCGAAGCCTACTGGGCCGCCACGGGGCCCCGCGTTTCCACACGACCGTGCGCCTCGACACCAAGGGATCGGCGGCCGAGCGACTCCTGGTGAGGGCCGGGGGCAGCGCCGCCGGTCACGCCGCGGAGTCGAGGCATCGCGGTCGCCAGAGCTCCGGCCATTGGAGCACCGAGCAGACTGTGATGCACCAGGGTGGCCGTGTTCTAGCAACCGTTACCAATGGTTGTCAGCCCCATTTTTTTTCTCTTGTAGAAAAAAAAATGTATTTGGACAAAATGTGGGCAAATCTGATCGCCGCTGCCCGTGGTGGGCAAATGGGATGGCGAATTCCAATCGGATCGCAGGCAGGGGTCATGTGACTGCCCTCAAGGTTATGTGGTCTGTAGACCAATCGTGGGTCACGAAGCGACACCCTTCATCAAACTGTTTTTTATTGGCTAAGCCGCAACTCCGAGTCGCCCTGCGGCCATTGCTGCACCGAGTTGCCGTGGTTACTCGAGTCAATATTAGAATCAGAGTTTTTATTTTGGCTGTAAGAGGAATCTGATGGGCCATGAAGCTCTTTTTCACAGATGTCCAGTACGGACATGGGGTCAGCAATTGGTGTCGGTTGTCTTGAAACAGGTCCAAAACATCGAGCGTTCACTGCACCACAAAAGTTGTAATAGATAAAGTGTGTAACACATTTCTTCAAACTCTTTGGATCTTTCGGCAAAGTCACTTCGAGAGAAAAAAAAGTTAGCAAGGTTATTTACTAGAGCTTGGGAACAGAGACGGCGATGGGAGAGGGAATTCCAAAGTGGAGCAGTGCGAGGGGGGAAGCAGAAAGAGAAGTGAGGTGACCTGCAGTGTGGTGAGTTGTTGGCTGAGTGAGTGAGTGAATGGGTGAGTGAGTGAGTGAATGAGTGAGTGAGTAATTAGGCGAGTGGGTGGATGAGTTCCTCAGTGAGTGAGTGAGTGGCTGAGTGTGTTCTTGCAACCTGCAGTGTTAGCGGTTGAAAGCGGTGCGGATGGCGACAAACCGGTCCGGTAGACCGACTCCTCAACATGGGTGTGGAAATCAACGAGTGAAGTTTGTGGGAACAGTGACCATGGTGTTAGCTATAGAAGAGCGATAAGGAGGCGACTGATCGCTGGCAAGCGAGCAGTTGCAGTGATTTGGCGAGTCCTGGATCATAGACCATATAACGGCCTATAGGGGATCAATGGTGATCGTAGCATGCGTGCATGGTATCTGTAAGGATAAGGGTTGCTGTGGGCCTGGTTAAAGGCTGTAAGGATAATGGTTGCTGCGTTGCGTGTTATTTACGGGATTCACGCCACAAATCACCCGACCACATGGTGGATTGTGGGTGCCCACGGCTGGAGACAGAGGGATCTTGAAGGGAGGCTAAGGGAGATGAGAGATATCGAGAGGGATTAAAAGTCATAGGGAGACGGACATAGAATCAGAATCTTTATTTAGACTGGAAGAATCCGCTGAACTGTAAAGCTCTTTTTCATAGATATCCAGTAGGGGCGGGTCGGAAAGTTACAGCAACAAACAATACAACAACACAATAGGAGTGCGAAGAAAGGTAAGCAATTCACACATTTTAATTTTATTTTTACCAGGAAAAAAGCTCGCCGAGCTATTAGCTTATTTCTCGGATGCGACATAGCCACAAAGGATAGCTCAACGGAGTGGCTTATCACGTGGAAATGTATCACAGCCAAACAATCTGAATCATCAAAACGCGTGTTTCGAAATGTGGAGGAAAAACCGGTGGGCCCCCGAGAAGCCGTACAGTATATACGTGATCACAGGGAGCGAGACATCAGAATCTGAATATTAATTTAGGCTGGAAGAATCCAACAAGCTACGGAGCTCTTTGTCAGCGATATCCAGTCGGGGAAGGTCAGAAAGTTACAACAAACCAAGCGAACAAAAAATCGCGGGGAGTGGAAAGCATAGGAACGCTAAGCAAGTCACTAAATACAATTAAATAAAGTGCAAAAGTACATCAATTCCTGCCGATTTCTCAAAACCAAATTTTAATCTTGTGCAAGGCAGCAAAAGCGAAAACGAAAGCAGACCCAGACCACAGCTAGACAGCACACAGTCCCTCAGTAACGTTGCACCCTAGCATGTCACGAGCGTTACCACTGCGGTGCCGCACGTTTGATGCGGGAGGAACCTGCGAGCTCGGCCCTGCGGAGCCGTTCGTGGTGGGGGGGTAGATGGCGTGGCTGGGCGGATGTGTGCCGGCATGCGGTGGGGGGGGGGGGGAGGAAGCTGTGGTGAGCCCAGGGGCCAGCGCCACACTGCCAGGTGTAGGCCACGATTAACCCTCCCCCCCATGCCCACCCACGGCCTCTTCGCACGACGCCACCACCGCACCGCCACCAGAGCACCGGCGCTGCCAAATACGGCTCCTCCGGGCACCCCCCCCCCCCCCCCCCGCGTTTGGTCACGTGAACGCGGTGTCGCCGCAGGTGCTGACGGCGTGGAGAGGCTTCCTGTTGTCGACTCGCACCCCAAGCAAGGTACCCCCGCTGCCTGGCCGCCTCTGCCCCTGCCGAGCGCCCCCCCCCCCCTTCGTCGAACGGCAGAGAGTTGCCGTTGTCCCACCCGTTCGTCGTCGTCGTCGGTCGTCCGTCGACAAAGTGTGCTTCGCATCGGTGGCACCTTGGTGATGATCGCTCGTTTTTGTCCGAACGTTGAGCGAAAATGTTGTGGCGCTGCCTCCGTTGTTCGGGTGCAAAATCAACGACGCCCGATTCCTCCGACCCCCCCCCCCACTCCGCCCCCCCCCTCCCCCGCACCGCTGCCACTCCAGCGATTTGATAAACGTCACGATTTTAAATCGCGATTGGATTTCACTTGCGGCCAATTGGAGCACTTCAGAGTGGCTGCAGAGGTGACGTGAACCGTTGAACCCAACGAGCGCCGTTCGGTGCGTGTATGGTTAGCTCACGGTTAGCTTTCGACGTGAAACGATGATTCATATTTCGTCGTTCCACCCCCAGCGTTTGTTTTGACGTTCACTTGGGATGCAGCTATTCACCTCCCTTCCCCTCCAAGCGCCAGCGATTCAGTGCGTGTGAACATCGATCCGAGAGTCACATTCTCGTTGCCTTTTGTTTTCGTCGCCTCGTTTGTGCGGCCCATTGGCGTAATCACGATCGCTCATTGACCCAGGGAAGCCTCGCCGAGTCTCATGACCCCTTTTCAAGAGGGTCCTGCCAATTATTATTTTTTTGCAGTGGGGGAGTTGGGGGGGGGGGTGCGATATTGCTGCTGTGTGTATAATCCCAATCTCGCGTCTCTTATTTCTTATTACATCCCATCTCGGCCCCTGCATTTACAATTTTCTGTTGTCCCTCACTACGTCCCCCTCCTCCCTCTCTGTGCTCAGCCACGTTTCCACTCCTTTTCCCTCCTGGCTCCCTTCCATTGGAATAAACGCGCACTCCACGTCAAACAGGCAACTTCACTAAACCATTTTTCATTCGTCCCATAAGACTTTTTTCAAAAGCGGATCCCTCTACTACTTCCTGTCCTCGTCCTTAAAACCTTGACCATCCTCCCCCTTTCCCTTCCAAATCTCGCTCCTCTTTTTCCCTGTCATCAGCCTTCCTTGCCATCCCTTCCCCTCCCCAACACTCAAATCCCATCCCTTTACCCCATCAGCCAATACTAATGTACCATTTCTAATTCTTGTGAAGCGCTTTGACAAGAGCGCTTCACAAGATCCTAGGCAAGATGTAATAATCCCCCGGCGAAATTTCTTTCAAATCTGGCAAACGTGGACAGTGACGCCGGCGCACGATGGCTCGCTCTTGCGAATGACGTCACGGGATCTTTGACATCCGCTGTGAGTGAAGCGGACGGCACGTAGTGTCGTTGACGGTTAATACCGCACCACCGCAGGAATCGCCGGGGCGGCCGCTGGCTTCAAACCGTTAACTTCTGCATAAAGTAGCGAACGCGCTTCCGCTGGGCCATGTTACCGCCCAGCGATAAAAGTAGCATTTGCATCATCATCATCAGCCATGATCCATCCCCTGTTGGATGAAGGCCTTATCAAGCCGCCACCATCTCTCACGATCCTTAAGTGCAACGGTCCGCCCAGCACCTCCACACGAGCTGGTCTCGTCACTCCATCTCCCCAGTGGATGTCCTCTCGGATGCGTTCCATTACCTATCTGCCACTCCGTTTTTATTCTTCTCAGCCATTGCGCATCATCTCTGACGTATCCTGCCCAAGCCCCGCTCACTTTTCTAAACACTGTAGATGTCTTCTTTGGTTCTTTCGGTAAAGTCACGTAAAATGAGAATAAAATAATAAATTGATAAAATAAAATAACACAATAATATTCTCACGACGTTTCGGCCACAACACAAGCGGCCTTCATCAGGTGAAGGGACGAGACTGTCTGGTAGGACAGCGCTGGAGTGAAAGAGCCACGTTCAGATCAAGACCTTTAAGCTGTGTGAGAGGAAACAAAGCGCCTTGACAAAGGAATTAGCATATAATTTAGCATTGAAATGGCTGAGTGATTAGCTTGTGACTGGTCACAGAAATAGCTATGTTAAAAGTTAAAGCATACACATCCGCAGAGGCACCCCTTGATAAAGGAATTAGCATAGAATTTAGCATTGAATAGCTAAGTTAAAGCATACACATCCGCAGAGGCACCCCTTGACAAAGGAATTAGCATAGAATTTAGCATTGAAATAGCTGAGTGATTAGCTTGTAACTGGTCACAGAAATAGCTACGTTAAAGTCAGAGCATACACATTCACCGAGGCACTTAGTACAAATCAAACAGGAGAATTTAGCATTGAAATAACTAGGCGAATTGAGCATTGAAATAACTCAGTGATTAGCTAGTGACTGGTCACAGAAATGACTATGTTGAAGTCAACGCCTACACATCTGAGCTATTCACAGTACTATATAGTGAACCAATAAAAGACTAAAATATAAATTACCTTAATGTTATCAATAAACTCTATATTCTCCAATCAGCTAAGCTACCAACAATAAGTCGTTATATATCACAATGCTATATGGCGAAAAAATGGGTGGATTCTTACCCTCAACTTTAGCACCACGGATAGCTACGGGCCCACTTCAGACGGACGAGTTCATCCATGGTCGGAACAGAGGAGGGGGAGAGAGACAGCTGCGAGGCGCTATTATACTCCATGTTGTAAACCATACCATTAACCGTGGTGTGAGAGGTATTAAGAGTCAATGCTGGCGAAAGAGCTGCGGTCTGAAGGTCATCGTAAAATATACAATTTATTAAGAACAGAAATGGTTTAAAACATCTTTCCAATGGTTACTAAGCCAGAATCCATCTTCTCGGTTGAAATTGTCTCTGTGCTTGTATATGTGAATGGCCTCATGAACGAATCTCTCATGGTAGCCGGTTGGTTTGCAAAGAACCTCCGTCTTGGAGAAGTCAATGTCATGTGAGCCCACTGAATTATAACAGTGATCTGCCACGGCAGAGGAGTTCGTCCTACCGTGTTTCAAGTCTGCTTTATGTTCGCGGATGCGGTCCGAGATATGTCGTTTGGTTTCTCCAATGTAGCTACTACCACAGAGGCACTTTAGTTTGTAAACGCCCAGGTACTGTATGTCTGGAACAGCATCTTTTACAGATGGAACTAAATCACGGATTTTATGTACTGTGTTGAATCGGACCTGGATCTTGTGTTTATTCAGGATTTTGGAGATCTTTTTAGTGACCCCTGCAATGTAGGGTAAGGTGATGGTTTTGAGTGGCTCCACAAGAGGATCCTTCTTCATGACTGGAGTGATGGCTTTGCGGATTGTGTAGTCGGAGTAACCATTAGCCCTGAGAGCCTGGTGTACGTGCTTGAGTTCACTGGTAATGTGTTCCTGGTCGGAAATGCATTGGGCTCTATGGTATAGAGTCTTGATGAGGGAGTTCTTCTGGGATGGATGGTGGTGGGAATCCGGTTTCAAGTAAGCATCTGTATGGGTAGCTTTCCTGTAGACAGAGTGGCTCATTGAACCATCATGTCTCCTTTTAATTAAGACATCCAAAAAGGGTAGTTTGCCATGTTAATGGTATGGTTTACAACATGGAGTATAATAGCGCCTCGCAGCTGTCTCTCTCCCCCTCCTCTGTTCCGACCATGGATGAACTCGTCCGTCTGAAGTGGGCCCGTAGCTATCCGTGGTGCTAAAGTTGAGGGTAAGAATCCACCCATTTTTTCGCCATATAGCATTGTGATATATAACGACTTATTGTTGGTAGCTTAGCTGATTGGAGAATATAGAGTTTATTGATAACATTAAGGTAATTTATATTTTAGTCTTTTATTGGTTCACTATATAGTACTGTGAATAGCTCAGATGTGTAGGCGTTGACTTCAACATAGTCATTTCTGTGACCAGTCACTAGCTAATCACTCAGTTATTTCAATGCTCAATTCGCCTAGTTATTTCAATGCTAAATTCTCCTGTTTGATTTGTACTAAGTGCCTCGGTGAATGTGTATGCTCTGACTTTAACGTAGCTATTTCTGTGACCAGTTACAAGCTAATCACTCAGCTATTTCAATGCTAAATTCTATGCTAATTCCTTTGTCAAGGGGTGCCTCTGCGGATGTGTATGCTTTAACTTAGCTATTCAATGCTAAATTCTATGCTAATTCCTTTATCAAGGGGTGCCTCTGCGGATGTGTATGCTTTAACTTTTAACATAGCTATTTCTGTGACCAGTCACAAGCTAATCACTCAGCCATTTCAATGCTAAATTATATGCTAATTCCTTTGTCAAGGCGCTTTGTTTCCTCTCACACAGCTTAAAGGTCTTGATCTGAACGTGGCTCTTTCACTCCAGCGCTGTCCTACCAGACAGTCTCGTCCCTTCACCTGATGAAGGCCGCTTGTGTTGTGGCCGAAACGTCGTGAGAATATTATTATGTTATTTTATTTTATCAATTTATTATTTTATTCTCATTTTACGTGACTTTACCGAAAGAACCAAAGAAGATGAATCATTGCAGTCACGAAAGCTTTAAATCGAAATTTATAGTGTAGATGTCATTGCCTTTTATAGTTCTCTAATGCATGTGTTCCTCTGTCTCCCGCCACGCTGGTGAGATGTTCACTACCTCGCCTGGCATGCAGGAGGTCGTGGGTTCAACCCCGACCCTGACGATGCCTGCTGTTGTATATTTGGAGTTTGCGTCTTTCTCGCCCCGTGATCGCGTGGATTTCTGCAGGTCCTCCGGTTTTTCCCTCCACATTTAGAATCAACGTAGCGTTTAGAGTATTTGGCTGCTATACATTTCCCACGTGGTAAGCCACTTCGTCGAGCTATCATTTGTGATAGCTAGGTCGCTTCTGAAAAAGAGCTGCATGTAGCTCTGTGAGCCCTACCTGGTAAAACAAAAACGCACAGTAGTTAGTTTGCGCACAGTGTACGCAATATTTCATTCTATTGGACAAACCGACGCATCATCCGTCTGGTGCCAAATATTTGGCCACAGCGATGGCCGCCCGGAAGGAACCGCCTCTCCGCCGAGGGCGGCCGCTGTCTCGTACGTCCGTGACGCCGGTTCCTCGCGCTCCTTTCCAGGTGGAGTCCACGTTCCACTTTTTGGAGATCCAGGCGGCCACACTCAAGGGCAACAAGGTGAGAGAGGCAGCTCCTGGGGCCGGGCAGCATAAGACGGTTGGGGGGATTGGGGGGGGAGGGCAGTGAAAATATTATTTGGGTGGGAATAAAATACTTTTTCAAATAATTTACGTTGTTTCAAAGTTGCCACTAGCAGAGCGCATGGCACGCTCATGCATGCCCGGGGTGCCACAACGGGTTCACCGATTGCGCCGGTCTGCCACGCACCGCGCCAAGCGGTGACTTTGGGCTGTCTAGTGTTTTGGAGATTAATTGTCTAAATGAATGAAGTTGCGTGGGTCCACCTGTTGAGTCTGCCACGGGCCATCCTAAGCGGTGACCTTGCGCTCTCCGTCGCCAGCTCTCGAGGGGTTTTACTGCAGTCACCGCGCGTGGCGAGCGAAATGTTAACCACCGCGCCTGGTATACCGGAGGTTGTGGCTTCGATCCCGACCCTGGCGTCTGCTCTATACAGTAAAACCTTGTATTGCGCAGCATAATTCGTTCCGGAAACGTGTTTGTAATTCAAAGCACTCGTATATCAAAGCACTCGTATATCAGTTGTGATCACGTGACGCTCGGCAGACAAAGCGTACATACGCACTACTCATATTGCAAGACCCTCGCTCGTTTATCAAATTAATATTTATTTAACATTTTTGCTCGTCTTGCAAAACACTCGCAGACCAAGTTACTCGCAATCCAAGGTTTTACTGTACTTGGAGTTTGCATGTTCTCCCAGTGGTCGCATGGATTATTCTCCGGTTTTTCCCTCCACATTTATAACTGACGCACGTTTAGATTATTTGGCTGCTCGTAAATTTCCACATGATGACAATCCACTGCGTTGAGCTATCATTTGTGATAGTTTATAGTTTTAGGTAACTCAAGAGCTCATCCGCTTCCATTTATTGTGGTTGGTGCCACGCGGTGGTAGTTTTATAACAAAACTGCTGTCGTGAACCCCTAATCGGTGTGGTTTTGTCTGTGTTGTGTTATTTGGTGTTGTTATATGGATACTGTTGTTATTGAGTTGTGGCATTGTGCTTACGTTGTTTTTGATGTTATGGTTGTTGTCGTTGTGGTTTCTTTTGTTGATGTTCTTGATGTCATCGTTTATGTTGGTTATATTATTGTTTATATTTGATGTCATTGTTTATGTTGACGATGATGTTACTGGTCATATTGTTGGGTTGTTGATGATGTTATTGTTAATGATGTTGTTGAGCAGTTGTTGTTGTTGTTGAGCAGTTGCTGCTAGAGACGGAGCGGGTCGGCGTCACCATGACGATGGGCTCTGCGGAGGAGGCCGACGTCGTTCTGGTGCACATCATGGTCGCCGCACAGGCCGCAGTGCCCGGGGTCAGCCCTCCGTGAGTCCACAACAACCTCAGCCAACACAACAACTACAACAAACACAACACAACCACAACAAACACAACGACAACATGGTGGCCGCGGTGCCCGGGGTCAGCCCTCCGTGAGTCCACAACAACCTCAGCCAACACAACAACCACAACAAACACAACACAACCACAACAAACACAACACAACCACAACAAACACAACGACAGCATGGTGGTCGCAGTGCCTGGGGTCAGCCCTCCGTGAGTCCACAACAACCTCAGCCAACACAACAACCACAACCACAACAAACACAACACAACCACAACAAACACAACACAACCACAACAAACACAACACAACCACAACAAACACAACGACAGCATGGTGGCCGTGGTGCCCGGGGTCAGCCCTCCGTGAGTCCACAACAACCTCAGCCAACACAACAACCACAACAAACACAACACAACCACAACAAACACAACACAACCACAACAAACACAACGACAGCATGGTGGCCGCGGTGCCCGGGGTCATCCCTCTGTGAGTCCACAACAACCTCAGCCAACACAACAACCACAACACATACCACAAACACAACACAACCACAACAACATAACCACAAGTCAGCAACCACAACAAACACAAAAACCAGACACACATAACTACAACGCAGAGCCACAACAGACGCAACCACAACGCACGCAAACACAACAACCACAACACAACCACAACACACAACCACAATGCACACAACACAACTACAACAAACGCAGCAGTGACCCCCCCCCCCGCTGCCGTTGTTGTTGTTTACTATTTTATTCTTCCGCTAGTTTGCCGAGGAGAGCCTTGCCGAGTCTCAAGACTCGTTTTTTCAAGAGGGTCCTGCCAGGTCTTCGCAGTAGTGTTGCGATGCTGCTGACCGCGATCCCAATTGAGTAATATTTCAGTAATTTGGGGCAATGCCAGTTACATTGCTTGTTTTTTTCTTTCTTTTAGCTATGCGAGGAAACCCATGTAGAGCAGGGGTAGAGGATATACACTCCACACACCCACGCTTACTCGCAAAGACAAAGATCCGCCTTATAGCCTTGACAGACTATTGGGGCAAGTGCTGTTAGCGACCAGCACCTATGAAGGCCGGCACGGCACACGAGGGGGTGGGTGGCCACCACCACACCCGGACCGCCTTTGTCTCGCTCGTCGCGGTGTTTTTGCACACTGCATCAGGTACTAATTTGAGGCTGAGTCGACCTCGCTGAGACCCAGGACCCATTCAGATAATCATCACTGGTGTTGGCCGTGAGCAGGAATCGAACTCGGGTGAACCGGGTTCGTAAGCGCAGTGCGCTAACCGTTACGCTGCCGCTCCCCACGGGGTTGTTAAAATCTCGCCACAGTGCGGGAAAACATACGAAGATGGAACAGGGGGAGAACATACAAACGCAGAAAGGCGCGTGAATCGAGAGGCGAACCCGGGACCGTTTCGTCCCATGAAGGCACGAGGGTTACCAATGAGGCCGCCAATACCCTTGCCGTGCGAGCCTCTAGGCTGCGACAGACTTCACTGCGCGTGACACCGGGGTCGCATGAGCACATGGCGCGATTGACCTATGACCCCTTTCCCACTCGCATGGCAGACAAACGCGGCCTCTGTGACAGGCACGCGTGGACGGGACGGGGCGCGATAGCCACCTCGATTCTCAAGCTCGCTAACAGCACTTGCCCCAACAGTCTGTTAAGGCTATACGGCGGGGTCTTTGTCTTTGTGCGTGTGTGCGTTTGCCAGTTTCTTGAAGAGGCTGACTCTGGACATGCACGAGCGGGCGAACTCCTTGCAGACAGCCTGGGCCCGGCAGAGCATTGTGGATATGGGGCCCTGTGGTGCGTGCGCTCCACACCGCGCTTTACACAGTCCGCTGTGGGGTGGGGGTTGAGAGGGCGGTCGTGGTGCCGACAGCTGTCGTGGCCCCGGTCGGGGTTTTGAGCGTGCCGTGCGGCAGCTATTGCCGGTTGACCGCCGTCAGCCGGCTGTCTGTGTGTTTGTGACGTCTACGTGCGGTGCAGTTTGTGTATGACGTCCGGGTGTAGTGCTGTGTGTGTGACGTCTGTGTTTTGTGCCACTTGTGTTTGTGTGCGAGACATCTGCGCGCGGTGCTGCGTGTGTGGGACGTTTGTGTTTGCTGCCGTGTGTGTGTGTGACGTCTGTGTGTTGTGCCACGTGTGTGACGTCTGCGCGTTACGCCACGTGCTTGTGTGACGTCTGTGCATTGTGCCGCGTGTGTGTGACGTCTGAACGCAGTGCTGCTGTGCGTGTGTGACATTTGTGTGTGGTGCCCCATGCGCGTGTGTGTGCGTGTGATGTCTGTGCGTTGTGCCGCGTGTGTGTGACGTCTGAACGCAGTGCTGCTGTGCGTGTGAGACATCTGTGTGTGGTGCCCCATGTGTGTGTGTGTGTGTGATGTCTGTGCGTTGTTCCGCGCGTGTGTGACGTCTGAACGCAGTGCTGCTGTGCGTGTGTGACATTTGTGTGTGGTGCCCCATGTGTGTGTGTGTGTGATGTCTGTGCGTTGTGCCGCGTGTGTGTGTGACGTCTGAACGCAGTGCTGCTGTCCGTGTGTGACATCTGTGTGTGGTGCCCCATGTGTGTGTGTGTGTGATGTCTGTGCGTTGTGCCGCGTGTGTGTGTGACGTCTGAACGCAGTGCTGCTGTGCGTGTGTGACATTTGTGTGTGGTGCCCCATGTGTGTGTGTGAGTGATGTCTGTACGTTGTGCTGCGTGTGTGTGCGACGTCTGCACGAGCAGGGGGATTCTCGCAGACGTATGCGTGCATCTGTGATCAGCTGGGCCTGCCCTGCAGGGAAGAGGTGCAGTGGGTGAGCTACCTCACCCACTTCCCTGCGCCATCATCATTGTCATCTTCATCATAATCATTGCATATAACACAACATATATACATTGTATTCTATTGTTCATATTTTTGGGACATTTTTTGGCCCTCAATTTTATCCAGATTGTCCTAGGCATGTGTCATCTGGTGAGATGAAAAATACATTTGGAACTCACAGTGCTATGCGAAACCCTAACAGAACAGCCTGCACAAAAGGATATCACAGACTCACTTCTGAGATCCCTTCGAGTGACCTTAAATGAATGCAATGGCTGGTGCAGTGTGTAAACATTAGCGGGTAGAAGACAAAGGCGGCCATGCATGGTGTTGGCCACACTACCTGTGCATGTGTGTGTGTCTGCAGGACGTGGACACCATCTACCTGTCCCACGACTCACGCGAGCTCAGCCTCAATGATTTCAGCCACCTAGACGGCAGGTGCGCCTCAACTGCACGCTCAGACACACGCAGACACTCGTGGACACGCCCAGACACGCTCAGACACGCGCAGACACTCGTAGACACGCTCAGGCACGCGCAGATACGCGCAGACACGCACAGACACGCTCAGACACGCGCAGACACTCGTAGACACGCACAGACACGCGCAGACACTCGTAGACACGCGCAGACACTCGTAGACACGCACAGACACTCGTAGACACGCACAGAAACGCGCAGACACTCGTAGACACGCGCAGACACTCGTAGACACGCACAGACACTCGTAGACACGCACAGACACTCGTAGACACGCACAGACACTCGTAGACACGCGCAGACACTCGTAGACACGCGCAGACACTCGTAGACACGCACAGACACTCGTAGACAGGCACAGACACGCACAGACACGTGCAGACACGCACAGACACGCGCAGACACTAGTAGACACGCACAGACACGCGCAGACACTCGTAGACACGCACAGACACGCGCAGACACTCGTAAACACTTGTAGACATGTGCAGACACGCTTAGACACGCGCAGACACTCTTTCACTCGCGCGTGCGCAGCCCGCGTGAGTGAAAGAGTGCCACCTATGCACGGCGCTCAGTGGAGCGAGCAGACGGAAGCCCCGACCTGACGCGTCGCTCGTGTGTGCGTGTGCGTGCGTGTGTGCGTGCGTGCGCGTGCACCCAGGGACCTGGTCCCCATCGTTGCGACGCTCGAGTTCAGCTCCTGGTTCACCAAGCTGCACTGCAAGGACGTCAGGCTGGTGCGTGACGATTTGGGCTGAAACGCGCGACGGGTTTGTTCGCCGCTCTCTCGACTCGGAGAGTCGTGGTCGCAATTCGAGAAGCCGCCCTCCCCGTGCTGGCCTCGATTTCACCGCCCCGTTATCAGCCCGCTGCCGGGCGAAGGCCTCTCGATGCCATGTCGGTTTATGGGCATTGTGCGACCATACTTCACCACGCTGGTCAAATCTGGATTCGGTGTGGAGAAGGCCCAGAGGCCCGGTTCAGATGTCGCCACTCGCCAGGGATGTTAGCCGTGGCTGGGAATTAAACTTAGGTTGCCGGGTTCATAGCGCAATGCGCTAACCACTGCACCACTGCTCCTTTCGACACTTCACGCGGCCTCAGAGTGCACCTAGCCTGGCACGAGCGCCGTGGTTATGTCACCGCCACTTACTGGCGAATGCCTGTTATTGTTGTTGCTTTGTGTATTTGTGCGCATGGTGCATGTGTGTGCGTGCCGTGTGTGTGTGTGTGTGGTGCATGGTGTGCATGTGTGTGTGCATGGTGTGTGTATGTGTGCGTGTCGATGGTGTGTGTCTTTCTGTCCACGGCGTGTATGTGTGTGTGTTGATGATGCGTGTATGCGTGCATGTGCACCAGTCTGCAGAGGTCTGCGAACAAGTGCTGCGCGTGATGTCGCGATCCTCGCGCCTGGAGGAGCTGGTGCTCGAGAACGTTGGGCTCAAGTCGTGAGTGCTCACGACGCATTGCATGTTGGGACATGCACAGGGGCATTCTGGGACGGGCATAGATGCATGCTGGCCTTGGTGGCTGGACTGCGTCTGTGTTAGACACGGAGTCCGGGGCAGCCACTTCACGCCAGCTGCCATACCGCCACCGACGCCACAACAAATAGGGTCCCGAACAACAACAACAATAACACCAATAACAACAACAACTTCAGGAACTGGATTGAGACCAATTCAGTTCCTGAAGAAGGTCCCAGCACTTGGTGCAAAATGTCAGAGGTCGTGCTGAATAACAGGCTGTGCCACCTGAACACATACAGTGAGGGAAAAAAGTATTTGATCCCCTGCTGATTTTGTACGTTTGCACACTGACGAAGAAATTATCAGTCTATAATTTTAATGGTAGGTTTATTTGAACAGTGAGAGACAGAATAACAACAACAAAATCCAGAAAAAACGCATGTCAAAAATGTTATAAATTGATTTGCATTTTAATGAGGGAAATAAGTATTTAACCCCTCTGCAAAACATGACTTAGTACTTGGTGGCAAAACCCTTGTTGGCAATCACAGAGGTCAGACGTTTCTTGTAGTTGGCCACCAGGTTTGCACACATCTCAGGAGGGATTTTGTCCCACTCCTCTTTGCAGATCTTCTCCAAGTCATTCAGGTTTCGAGGCTGACGTTTGGCAACTCGAACCTTCAGCTCCCTCCACAGATTTTCTATGGGATTAAGGTCTGGAGACTGGCTAGGCCACTCCAGGACCTTAATGTGCTCCTTCTTGAGCCACTTCTTTGTTGCCTTGGCCGTGTGTATTGGGTCATTGTCATGCTGGAATACCCATCCACGACCCATTTTCAATGCCCTGCTGGGGGAAGGAGGTTCTCACCAAAGATTTGATGGTACATGGCGCCGTCCATTGTCCCTTTAATGCGGTGAAGTTGTCCTGTCCCCTTAGCAGAAAAACACCCCCAAAGCATAATGTTTCCACATCCATGTTTGACGGTGGGGATGGTGTTTTTGGGGTCATAGGCAGCATTCCTCCTCGTCCAAACACGGCGAGTTGAGTTGATGCCAAAGAGCTCCATTTTGGTCTCATCTGACCACAACACTTTCACCCAGTTGTCCTCTGAATCATTAAGATGTTCATTGGCAAACTTCAGACGGGCATGTATATGTGCTTTCTTGAGCAGAGGGACCTTGCGGGCGCTGCAGGATTTTAGTCCTTCATGGCGTAGTTGTGTTACCAATTGTTTTCTTGGTGACTATGGTCCCAGCTGCCTTGAGATCATTGACAAGATCCTCCAGTGTAGTTCTGGGCTGATTCCTCACCGTTCTCATGATCATTGCAACTCCACGAAGTGAGGTCTTGCATGGAGCTCCAGGCCGAGGGAGATTGACAGTTCTTTTGTGTTTCTTCCATTTGCGAATAATCGCACCAACTGTTGTCACCTTCTCACCAAGCTGCTTGGCAATGGTCTTGTAGCCCATTCCAGCTTTGTGTAGGTCTACAATCTTGTCCCTGACATCCTTGGAGAGCTCTTTGGTCTTGGCCATGGTGGAGAGTTTGGAATCTGATTGATTGCTTCTGTGGACAGGTGTCTTTTATACAGGTAACAAGCTGAGATTAGGAGCACTCCCTTTAAGAGTGTGCTCCTAATCTCAGCTCGTTACCTGTATAAAAGACACCTGGGAGCCAGAAATCTTTCTGATTGAGAGGGGGTCAAATACTTATTTCCCTCATTAAAATGCAAATCAATTTATAACATTTTTGACATGCGTTTTTCTGGATTTTGTTGTTGTTATTCTGTCTCTCACTGTTCAAATAAACCTACCATTTAAATTATAGACTGATCATTTCTTTGTCAGTGGGCAAACGTACAAAATCAGCAGAGGATCAAATATTGTTTTCCCTCACTGTATGGGTGAGCTATACAGCACAACAGTGAAACCCTACGCAGTAATAATTTGTGTGTACGTATGTGTGTTGAGCTTTTGTCGCAACTTACGTAGCCAACCGTGCTGCAAATCGGAGGTGCGGGGGAAGGACATGAAACTAAACACAAAAAGTAGTTAGAGAGAAATTAGTTTTTTTCGATCGAGATTTAAAAGTGCATAGCTCCAGATTTGTAAAACTCCAAACCTACCACTCAGTTGTGAAGTGGACAGAAAGGGGGTAGCAGGGCAAGATAATTTGCGAACCCGTCTGTCCGGGGATTTGAGTGTTGTTCCCTCGAATGCGCGGATTTTCTCCGGGTTTCTTCCGTTGTGCACAGGAAGGTGCGATTTGTAAAACACGGCAGTGTTCACAGCAGCGGCATCTTTCATAAATCGAGACACAGGGAAACTTAGTTTGGCCAAAGCAACGTTTCCAAGATTTGCGTCTCCCTCCCCCATGTACTGCTGCGCTGTTTCCTCCTCCTCATCGTCCTTCTCCTTCCTCTTTCTCCTCCCAGTGATTTTCTGCAGAAACTTGCCGCGGCGTTGACCCAAAATCCTGCGAGCTGCCTCCACTCCATAAATCTGTCCAACAACAGCCTGGAGGACCGAGGTGAACACCGAACACACGCACAGACACGGCACTGCACACCCGCTGCATCGCACAGACACGGCACTGCACAACCGCTGCATCGCACAGACACGGCACTGCACACCCGCTGCATCGCGCAGACACGGCACTGCACACCCGCTGCAATGCGCAGACACGGCACCGCACAGACACGGCACTGCACACCCACTGCATCGCACAGACACGGCACTGCACACCCGCTGCATCGCACAGACACGGCACTGCACACCCGCTGCATCGCACAGACACGGCACTGCACAACCGCTGCATCGCACAGACACGGCACTGCACACCTGCTGCATCGCGCAGACACGGCACCGCACAGACACGGCACTGCACACCCGCTGCATCGCACAGACACGGCACTGCACACCCGCTGCATCGCACAGACACGGCACTGCACACCCGCTGCATCGCACAGACGCGGCACCGCACAGACACGGCACTGCACCCCGCTGCATCGCGCAGACGCGGCACCGCACAGACGCGGCACCGCACGCAGCACAGCACCGCACAGACACGGCACCACACACAGCACAGCACCGCACAGACACGGCACCGCACAGACACGGCACCACACAGCACAGCAGCACAGCACCGCACAGACACGGCACTGCACACCCGCTGCATCGCGCAGACGCGGCACCGCACAGACACGGCACCACACACAGCACAGCACCGCACAGACACGGCACCACACACAGCACAGCACCGCACAGACACGGCACTGCACACCCGCTGCATCGCGCAGACGCGGCACCGCACAGACGCGGCACCGCACGCAGCACAGCACCGCACAGACACGGCACCGCACAGACACGGCACCACACAGCACAGCACTGCACAGACACGGCACTGCACACCCGCTGCATTGCGCAGACGCGGCACCGCACAGACGCGGCACCGCACGCAGCACAGCACCGCACAGACACGGCACCACACACAGCACAGCACCGCACAGACACGGCACCGCACAGACACGGCACCACACAGCACAGCACCGCACAGACACGGGACCGCACAGACACGGCACCACACACAGCACAGCACCGCACAGACACGGCACCACACACAGCGCAGCACCGCACAGACACGGCACCACACACAGCACAGCACCGCACAGACACGGCACCACACACAGCACAGCACCGCACGGTCGTGGCACCGCACAGACGCGGCACCGCACACAGCACAGCACCACACACAGCACAGCACCGCACAGACACGGCACCACACACAGCACAGCACCACACACAGCACAGCACCGCACGGTCGTGGCACCGCACAGACGCGGCACCGCACACAGCACAGCACCACACACAGCACAGCACCACACACAGCACTGCACAGACGCGGCACCACACACAGCACAGCACCGCACAGACACGGCACCGCACAGACACGGCACCGCACAGATGCTGCACCGCACTCAGCAATGCATTCATCGATTGGAATTGTGCATAGCAAGTTGCGCCTCTTACTGGCAGACCACAGAACTTGGGCTTGTGCGGTCTATACGGTAGTTTCCCGGGCGTTTTTGAGATGTAATTTGCATGAATGACGTGATAAAAAATAAACTATTCTATTTATGCACAGACGGATGCTGGACCGCACACCCCTCTACTAACTCATAGCTCCTCCGCTCACCATGCTTGCGCGTGCGTGTGTGCGCCCTCATGCACGTGCAGGGCTGTATCAGCTGAGTCAGCAGCTTAGCCGACTTGGCAAGGGACTACGCAGTCTCAACCTGTCCCGCACAGCGCTCACACTCAAAGGTACGATCACTCACTCACTCACTCGGTCAGGTAGCCACTCACCGGCTCACTCGCGCACGTGCTCACTCACTCACTCACTTGGTCAGCTAACCACTCACTTGCCTGCTCACATGCGTGCTCACTCACTCGGTTAGCTAGCCACTAACCCGCTCGCTCACTAACATGCTCACTCACTCAGTCAGCGAGCAACTCACTTGCTCGCTCGCTCACACACATGCTCACTCACTCAGTCAGCTAGCCGCTCACCCACTTGCTCACATGCATGCTAAGTCATTCACTCAGGCCACGAAACCAGTCGCTCACTCACGTCCTCATTCACTCGGTCAGCTAGACTCTCATCCGTTTGCTTACGCACGTGCTCACATGCTCGCTCGCTCACCCACCCAGCCATCCAACCACTCGCTCGCTCACTCACTTGACCAGCTAGCCACCCACTCGCTCACTCACTGGCTTGCTCGCTCACTCAATCACTCGCTCGCCCGCTCGCTCACTCCCTCACTCACTCACTAGCTCGCTCAATCATTCGCTCACCTATCCAGCCAGCCAACCACTGGCTCACCCACTCACTTGGCCAAACTAGCCACCACCCACTCACTCATTCACTCGCCCTCTTATACATCTAAAAAAAAGATTATGCCAGGCCAATATAGCCACGATACACTGCCTGTTTGTTTACGATAAAGCTGAGTGATGTGCACTCTGACCAAGTTGTCCCGCGCACACAGTCGCCCACTCACCGCAACGTCCCCACCCCGCCACCCACTTGGCTTGCCATGGGTCGCAGTCACAGAAGGATTCATGAATTTTTAAACGGCTCGGCAATTGCTGCTTTTACAGAGGTCATTGGGTGCCTGCGTGCGTGCGTGCGTGCGTGCGCGCGTGAGCGTTCCCCTCTGAAAGGTGCTTTGTAAATGTCTTGTTGTTGCTTGTGTCTGTGTATGTGCGTCCACGTGCATGTCCATCTGAGTGTGCGTGTGTGCCCGTTCCTACGTTTCTGTGCCATATGTGTCTGTGGGTGTGTCCATGTATGTACATCTGTAAGTACGCGCGTGTGACTTCTTGTATATCTGTGCGAACGTTGTCCATGTTGCCAACATGTGCGTTGCGTTTCATTCCCACGTGTGTCCGCGTGTTGGCGTGCGTGTGTCCCTTGCGTGCACGTCTGTGCGTGTCTGTCGCGTGCGTATACGCGTGTGTGCGCGTGCGCAGGGGTGAACGCGATGTCGCAGGCGCTGATGACCAGCGAGTTGACCCTGAACTCGCTCACGTGCCTAGACCTCTCTAGTGTCGTCCTGCGCGCAGACGAGACGTCGGTGAGCGCCCGCGCAGACACCTCCTCCGCCACCCCCCCCTTGCCGTCACCCACGCAGGGAGTGGGCCGCCACTAGGTCGACTCAGCCGTGACTGGTGATTGTGCCATCCTCCCCCCTCCTCACCCAGAACCTGTACGCGTTCCTGGCGCAGCCCAACGCCCTGGCGGTGCTTGACCTGTCCGGCACGGAGAGCGTCGTGGAGACGGTGAGGGTCGCGGCCGCGAAGGGGACGCTTGTGTGTGTGGTGTGTGTGATGTGTGTCAGTGACGTGTGTGTGTGTTACGCGTGTCTGCGACGCGTGTGTGTGGTGTGCGTGTGACGTGTATGTGTGACGTGTGTGTGCAGTGTGTGTGTGACGTGTGTGTGTGAGTGATCTGTGTGCATGTGACGTGTGTGTGTGTGAGTGATCTGTGTGCATGTGACGTGTGTGTGTGTGTGTGAGTGATCTGTGTGCATGTGACGTGTGTTCGTGTGACGTGTGTGCGTGACGTATGTGTATAGTGTGTGTGACGTGTGGTGTGTGTGACGTGTGTGTGTGTGTATGGTGCATGCGTGACATGTCTCGACGTGTATGGCGCTGTCGCCTGTCAGATGTTCGGGGCGCTCTTGCGGGGCTGCTGCCGGCACTTGCAGGAGCTGCGCCTATCAAAGAACGTCTTTTCCTATCGGTGAGACTCGCCCAACAGCTTGCAACCAACAGAGACACGATGTGTTCGTGTCGCTGCCATGTCAGACGGCGCTGCAGTGTTAGACGGCGCTGTGTTGTTCGTGCTGCTGTGTTGGATCGTGCCGCTGTGCCGTCGCAGGAAGGCACGGGACGTGCTGCCCTCCTGCAGGCGTTTCTTCAGCAGCGCGCTCATCCTTTCTCACATCGACCTCTCCGACACCCGCCTACCGGCCCCCGCCGTCCGGTGAGGAAGCCGGATCCTCCGCCTGCTCACCCGCTGACTCACCAACTCACTCGCTCACTCACCAACTCACTCGCTCACCCATTCATTCACCTACAAGCTCACCCGTGCAGGCATTCGCCCGCACAGGAACTCACCCGCTCATTCGCCCGCCCATTAATCTACAAACTCACCCACTCACTCTCTTCCTTACCAGCTTACTTATTCATCCTCTTGGTCACCCCCTCATCCCGTCACTCATCAACGTACCCTTTCACATACTAACCTCCTCACCCACTTACTCACGTATTCAACCCCTCAACATCATACTCATCTGCTTACCTTCTAACCTCCAAACTGTTCCACTTATTCATTCCCCCACCCACTTAGTCTCTCACCGTCTCTCTCACCAGCTCACTCACTCAATTATATGCGGTTGTCTTGAACACAACATTACCAGTTATGAGGCTTCAAGGTGGCGCAGTGGTAACACTTGTGCCTCACAGCAAGAAGTACCTGGGTTCGATTCTCGACACCAGCAACCTTTCTGTGTAGATTTTGTATGTTTTGCATGGGTCTCCTCCAAGCTTTTCAGTGTCCCTCCCATAGCTTAAAAAAATTAACATTGCAACTGGTACCGGCCCAAACATCCCAATGCTGAACAATGATCTGCAGATTACTCAGTTGGGATTACATACAGCAGAGAGCATAAACTAAGCTAAACTATTTTTTTTATTTTACCAGATAAGGTCCCACTGAGCTATGTAGCACTTTTTCAGACGCGACCTGGCTATCACAAATGATAGCTCAACGAAGTGGCTTATCATCATCACGTGAAAATGTAGAGCAGTTGCCAAACACTCTAAATGCGTGACGTTGATTCTAAATGTGGAGGGAAAAAAAAAAACGGAGGACCCGGAGAAAAATCCACGCGACCATGGGGAGAGAGACACGCAAACTCCAAATATACAGCAGGCGTCAGGGTCGGGATCGAAACCACGACTTCCTGTATACCAGGCGAGGTAGTTAACATCTCCTAGCCACCGTGATGATGATGAGAGAGAGACACGCAAACTCCAAATATACAGGCATCAGGGTCGGGATCGAACCCACGACTTCCTGTATACCAGGCGAGGTAGTTAACATCTCCTAGCCACCGTGGCGCTACATAGACCCCAACTGCAAAAAAACTTGGTAGGACCCATCTGAGTCTTGAGACTCGTTGAATATTTTCTGGCTAAGCAAGCATCATAATATTACTAATAATGAGGTCATGGGCCATAAGCTCATGTCATGTGATGGTGAGGTCACGGGGGCACGAAGGAGGCTACACTTTGCCGCTGCGCCGGGGTGGAGTGGCGGTGTCACGATGGCTGTGGGACAAGAGCTCCGCATACGAGGATCCGGGCTGTGGATTAAGGGATTTGCCATATTTGATGATGAATCGATGAGCACCTCGAGCGTGACCCCGGGTTGACGGCGTGACCGTCAACTCACGGCGTCCCACAGGGAGCTGCTGCTGGGGCTGGCAGCGAACAAGCACCTGCAGGACGTGTCGCTGGAGCTCAGCGGCTGCGAGGTAAGAGGCACCCGTCGCGGACGAGTGAGTGAGCGAGCGAGCCAGTAGGCGAACGAGCGGGCGAGCCGACGAGTGGGTGTATCGAAGAAGTGGACTAGAGGGTGAGGAGGTGAGTGAATGAGTGGACTCGTGAGTGGGCAATTGAGCGAGAAAGTGAGTGAACTATTGAATGACTGGATGAGCAAGCAAATGAGTGGCTCAGAGGGTGAACGAGCGGGTGAGTGGGTGAGTTAGTGGATCAGTGAGGGGCTGAGTGGCTGAGAGGCTGAGTGAGCGGGGTGATTGGGTGAGCGAGCAAATGACTGGCTGAGAGGATGCTTGGTTATTGAGTGAGTGGACAAGTGAGCGAAGTGAGCGGAGTGGGTGAGCGAGCAGGTAAAAGGATGAACAAGCGGATGAATGGGTGAGCGAGCGGGTGAGCGCGTAGAGCCGGCGTGTTGATTCGCGAGCCATGGTTGCTGGCTGCTGCCGTTGACAGTTGCGTCTGGAAGGATCCAAGGCTCTCAAGTACTGCCTGGAGGACGTCCCCAACCTCTCGCGCCTCGACCTGGCCGACAACGGTGAAGCCACGCGCTCGACGGGGGGTGATGGGGGGGTGGGAATGGGAGGGGGTGGGTGGGTGGATGAGTGGATCCACGAGCGTTGAGTTTGAGTCGCTTGTTTTTGTCGCCCCAGGTCTGGATAGCGATCTCCTGTCGCTCATGAATGTCCTCGGCAAGAATCGCTCCATACGCCACCTCGACCTGGGCCGTAACTTCTCCAGCCTTAAGCCCAAGTGTGTGCTCACTTCCTCACCAACTCCTTACCCACTCACCCGCCCATCCACCCTAGTGCACTCATCCAACCACCCGGCCACCCATTCGACTGCTCGTCCATACGCCTGTTTGTCTTCGCTCTGCCTTGCTCACCTATCTTATCTTAAAGGTAATTTATATAGCTCCTTAACCAAGGCGCTTTAAAAATAATTAACAATGGTACTTTATGAATGTAATGGTGGAGATGAGGTGAATGAAATAGATGAGAGGATTCAATGGGCGTGAATTCGGTGAAAGCGAAATTGATGACAGTAAATAATGATGAACGGATCATCATCTCTCATCCACACACTCGCTCTCTCTCATCCGCACACTCACCCCCTCCCTTCCCACTCACCCCCTGCGTCCCCCCCTCCCCGCGTGTCCCCTGTAGGATGCTGTCCAAGGTGCTGGACGGGGTGGTGCAGCTGATACAGGACGAGGACTCGGTACGTAACGCTGGCGCGCGCCCTGCCAAGTCTGTGTCGGGTTTTCTCGGCGTTAAATGAGCACCCGGCGCGGCGTGCAAACGCCGTCACTGGCTCCTCGTGAAAACGCCCCGGCCATTTAACAGCACTCGGCCCCGACGGCCCGGGTAGGCTACATGGGGGACCTTTTGTCTGTTGCGCGGAGCAGATGCTGCAGTCCCTGTCGCTGGCCGACTCGCGGCTCAAGAGCGGCACGAGCGTCGTGGTGAACGCGCTCGGCAGCAACGCGTCGCTCGCCAGCGTCGACCTGAGCGGCAACGCCATGGGGGACCTGGGGGCGCGCATGCTGGCCAAGGCGCTCGCCATCAACAGCTCGCTCCGGTGCGCGCGCGCACGCACGCACACGCAACGCACGCACCCACACACTTGGGTACGCGCGCACACACGCATGCATGTACACTCCCACATTCTGGTTGGTACGCACGCACACATGCGCAGGCTCCAGTACACACAAAGCGGTACACGTTTATGCTCCGGTGCGCGGGTGCGCACGCACCCAACGCATGCACACACGAACACAACCGCGTGCTTGTCATGAGAACACGGTGAGATCACGGTGTGTGTGGCAAGGTCACAGTCAGATCACGGTGTGTGCGGTGAGTTCACGGTCAGATCACGGTGTGTGCGGCAAGCTCACAGTCAGATCACAGTGTGTGCGGCGAGTTCACGGTCAGATCACGGTGTGTGCGGCAAGCTCAGTCAGATCACGGTGTGTGCGGCAAGCTCACAGTCAGATCACGGTGTGTGCGGCGAGTTCACGGTCAGATGACGGTGTGTGCGGCAAGCTCACAGTCAGATCACGGTGTGTGCGGCAAGCTCACAGTCAGATCACGGTGTGTGCGGTGAGTTCACGGTCAGATCACGGTGTGTGCGGCGAGCTCACAGTCAGATCACGGTGTGTGCGGTGAGTTCACGGAGAGCTCACGGTGAGAACACGGTGAGATCACAGTGTGTGCGGTGAGTTCACGGAGAGCTCACGGTGAGATCACGGTTTGACTCCTGCAGGACGGTGATCTGGGACAAAAACGGCACGACCGCCCAGGGCTTCCAGGATGTGGCCAGTGCCCTAGAGAAGTAAGTGTAACCTCGCGTACCCCCCAGCGTGACCTCACATGACCCCAGTGTCACAAACTCCCGAGATCATGTGGCCTCTTGAGCAAACCACCCTGATTCTAACCGATCTTGTTGGATCTGGAAAGCTGATCAGGCGGAGCCCGATTAGTACTTGCGCTGAATATTGTCTAGGAATATCGGCTCTCATAAGTTTGGCCAGTGAAGTGACCAGATGGCAGTACAGCATTGGATTCCTAATTCTATCAGTGTGGAACTTAGAGTGTCATGTGAAATTATCATGCATGGAACTGGCCAAACGTCCCAATGTAGCAGGACCCACCTGACAAAGATTATTGAGGCTCAGCAGACTTTCCTTGGTAAACAAATCAACATTATAACCTAGAATCCACAGTCCGTTGTCAGTCCACTGCTGGATGAAGAAGGTCTCTCCATGTCGTGTCGGTCACGAGGATTGTTTGACCGTATTTCACGACGCTAGCAAGTGTGGGTTGGTGACGGGTGGAGACCCAGGACTGGTTTAGACTGCTGTTCGTCTCGGCCGAGATTCACGCTCAGCTCGCCGGGTTCACGGCACACTGAGCTAACCGCAGTGCCACCGCTCCGCTTTGTAATCTCTCCGCCAGGAACTACAGCCTGCGATTCATGCCCCTTCCCATGCACGACGCGGCGGCCGCAATGAAGACGCAGCCGGAGAGGACAGAGGAGGCCCTGCAGAAGGTTCAGACTCGTCGCAGCATTTGCCGTTCACACAGCATGTGCGTGTGTGGACACGTGTGTGCGCGTGTGTGGATGGGGCGTCTTTGTATGTGTGTGTGGGGAGAAGTAGTGCAGCGGTTACCACGCTGGGCTACGAACCCGGAAACCGTAGCTCGATTCCCGCTCATGGCTAACACAAGTGATGGTTATCTGAACCGGTCCTGGCCTCCAGTAGGTCAACTCGGCCTCAAATGAGCACCTTTTACGGTGTAAAAAAACATCGCCACTGTCTTTGTGTGTGACCGTGCAACCGTACGTGCGGGCAGATCGAGAAGCTACTGTTGCGGAACCACGGGTCGCGGCGCTCCTGCCCGGAGCAGGCGTACCGCCTGCAGCACGGCATCCTCGCCAGCACATCCCAGCAGGTCAGGGGGTCGGAGGTCAGGGGTTAAGGTTGCTACCTGTCGGTGTGTGAATGTCCAGGCACGATCCGAACAGTCTGAGGTCTGGTACCGGTATTGTGTTGAACTTTGTTACAAGATACTGGACAGTCTTGATATGCCTGGTGCTGACTTTAGATGTGTGGGTTTTGGTCTTGAGTTGAAAAGGTGGCAGCCTCCTCCACCCACTGACTGATTCACTCACCCACCCACTAATGCATTGATTCATTTGTCAAGTCGCTCAGTAACTCACCCACTCACCCACTGATTCACCCACTCATTCATTCACTCACTCACTCACTCACCTTTCTCACTCACCCACCCACTACAGTTGCCACCTGACCGGGAATTGTCATCTGTGTTTGCGGCAGGCATGAATTGATTCATACCGAGATCTTGCTGGTACTGTGCTGAATTTTATTCCAGCTTACTGCACAGCCTTTATATGTGTGGTGCTGACTGAGAAATATGTGTGGGTTTGGCCTTCGGTTGAAAAGGTGGTGACCCAAGGGCAGCAAGAGGTAAGGGGTCAACAAATACCACAACTAGGATCAGTGGCAAGAGAATGTTGCTGTGTGTGGGTCTGTGTCTTATTTGTGTGCGAGTGTGCGCTTGCGTATGTGTCCGTACGTGGCCTCAAGGTGCACATGGCCTGGCACAAGCGTCGTGGCGACGTCACCGCCACTTAGTGGCGAATGGCGGTTGTTGTTGTTGTACGTCTGTGCGTGTCTGTGCATGTGTTGTACACGTGTCTGTGTGTGTGCAGATGTGGACGCGCTTGTATATACGTGGGCATGCGTGTGTGTTGTTGTGGGTAGTTGGTAACAGCGGTTCGTGCGCTGCGCTACGAACCCCGACGACTTGAAGTTGATTTCCGCTCACGACTGACGCCAGTGAAGAATATTTGAACTTGTGCTGGGCTTCCCCTGACCACCTACCCCCTCGTGTGCCATGGCAGTTTTGTAGGTATGTTGAATTTATTTTGGGCTGCACAACCGTGCTAATCGGACGTGCGAGCCTCTAAAGGTGAGAGCCTTCATAGGTGTTACTCGCTAACAGTACTTGCCCGAACAGTCTTTTAAGGCTATACGGTGGATCTTTGCGTGCGTGTGTGCGCGTGGGTCAGCTGGTGGACAGGATGTGCGTGAGGGCCCAGGACCAGCTGAGGGCCCTGCAGAGCGGAGGGGTGGGGGTGACCGAGGGCCCTGCCCGCTCAGACATGATGCACGCTCAGGCCCTGCTGCAGGAGGCCAAGAACTCCAAGGCCGTACGTATGATGGACATTGAACTCTGGGCTGTTGCCATTGGGACGGGAGCAGATGGGCGGTGGGGGGGGGGGGGGTCGCACCATCCATGTACCATGGAGAGATGTTAACTATCTCGCGTGGTGTACAGGAGGTCGTGGGTTCAATCTCGACCCTGACACCTGCTGTGTATTTGGAGTTTGCGTGTCTCTCATCGTCATCATCACGGTGGCTAGGAGATGTTAACTATCTCGCCTGATGTGCAGGAGGTCGTGGGTTCAATCTCGACCCTGACACCTGCTGTATATTTGGAGTTTGCGTGTCTCTCTCATCATCATCACGGTGGCTAGGAGATGTTAACTGCCTCGCCTGGTGTGCAGGAGGTCGTGGGTTAAATACAGACCCTGACACCTGCTGTATATTTGGAGTTTGCGTGTCTCTCCCTCTCCCCGTGGTGGTCGCGTGGATTTTTCTCCGGTTCCTCAGTGCGCCTTGCCTGGTGAAATAAAAAAAATAGTTTATCGTTTAGTTTCGTTCTAGGTCTCGATGGGCTTTCACAATGTTGCAAAATACAACACGGCCGGCTTGACCCGGCTAGGGCTGGATTCAGGGCAAACGCACGGCCACACTGTTCAGTGGTGGCCTGCCAGTGTGCAGAATAATAATACGAATTCCTGCTTAGATAATTATTCTTACGTTAGCACATTTTATGACAGCAGCAGCAGGAGCATTTTCAATCCAATCTCAACATTCTTAATTGTATTGTTTGGATTAGGCCACTAAGTGACCCTAATCTGTGTTAAGAACCCTCCACCACCCGACACGCAGCGCACAAGCGTTTAACAACACACCGGTTATTATTGTTCCAGCTCACAATCCCCGCAACCACAATTGGCAATCTCAAGATGCTTTACAAAACTGAAGAAACTACATTTGGATAAAATGGGGCATGACGAGTGGGTTAGGACAGGGAAAACAGGACTGAGGGATAGAGATACTCAGCAATCGGGGCCCCAAATCAATAACAAACAAACAACATCATCAACAACGAGCCCTGGGGGACAGCCGGGGCAGCAGCAGCCAAGAGTCCCAGGGCATCCTGGGTAGACCAGGGCCTATTCAGCACGGAGGAGGCAGCAGAGGAGAGAGCTGCAGTCCTCAATACATAGGTATGCATGTTGAACTTCTTTCGCACCGTACTTAGCCAATTGCGCCAATCGGAGGTGCGGGGCAAGGTCAACGAACTAACAAAAAGCAGTTTCACGGGGACTAACAGAAGCAGGAAAGAGTCTTTGCGGCGGCAAAAACGTGGAGGAAGTTGCGGCCATGAGAGAAATTGCGCGGCCGATGGCGGACCTCGGACGTTCTTGCTTGAGCCGCGGCCTTGCGCAGCGATAGCAGAGAGGGACCGCCCCGAAGGCTCGCAGCTCGCAGCTCACCCCAGCTTCCATAACCTCCCCCCCGCCCTTCGCGTGCAGCTGCTGCCCACGCTGTTCCACCACAGCCCGGGGGGGCCCGACCCCCTCAGCGTGCAGATGGAGGAGACGACGGCGGAGGTGGCGGCTGTGCTCGACTCGCAGCTGCAGGTGGGGGGCGGCTTCCATGCCACTGGGGGGGCGGGGGGGGGGGCGGGGGGGGGCAGTCACCCGCTTAGCCCGGCAGCCCAAGTTCCATTCCCGATCGCGGCCCACACCGGTGACGATTATGTGAACTGGTCCTGAGCCTCCCCGAGGCCAACTCAGCCTGAAATGAGTTCCCGGTGCAGTGCGTAAACATCGCCACTGGGGAGACAAAGGCGGCCGGGTGTGGTGTCCACACCACTCTCTCGTGTGCCGTGCCGGCCTTCATAGGTGCTACTCGCTAACAGCAGTTTAAAACGTAGTTGGCTTTCACACCAATATCCACAATAAAGGTTTTTTTGGGTTAGATCACAAAAATATTAATGTGTCGTTAAACCCGCCACCACCCAACAAAGCCAATTAGTAGGGTTTGTCACGTAAACAAAACGTGCCAATTACTACTTCAGCACCACCGGTGTCTGAGAGAGTAAACCCACAATATTTATAATTGGAGTACGACGGTTCGCTGGTGATTACAACCATCCTCATCAGTCGACAGCCAGAATTGTGAAGAAGTCCTCCTGTTTCGGTCTTAAATAAAGGGAGTAACGGTGACGTCATCACTGTGGGCCTATCAGGGTTTCCGCGTCGGCGCGTGATGTGCTTAGCGGGTGCACGCCGCCTGCGGTGCACGTGGATGCATGCCACGTGCCGTGTGTAGCGGACGTTGCATTCGTGGGGCGCGTGCGCGTGCGGCGTGTGCTGCGCACAGGCGATGCTGGAGGCCATGGTGCGCGTAGGGGAGGGGCTGTGCCCCCACACGACAGCGGCGCCGGGCGTCCACGCCGCCCTCCTCGCCGCCGGCGCTGAGAGAATCTCCGTCCCGCGCTCGCTGGTGCGGAGCCTCGGCCTCGAGCAGGCGGCCGTGGAGCTACACGACAAAGCGAGGTGCGGGGAAACCACGGGCGCCACGTGCTCACACAACCGCTCGCTCAGCCACTCACTCTACCTGTACTCCTACTCACCGACTCTACACCTCTCGTACAAAGACGCTGCTCAACCCTGGCTGAATTGTCCCCCGTGTCATCATCTATCCTGCTGCGTCTCTGCCCGTGTCCCCCAACCCCCGCCGCGTGTCTCCAGCGAGGTACGCCTGTCCCTGTCGGCACTCCTGGCGGACCGCATCACGGACAAGCTCTTGGAGCAGCTGTGCGGCGTCCACGCCAAGCTGGTGCGACGCGCCACGGTCGCCTCCTCCTCCTCCTCCCGTCGCCGAGTGTCACCGAGTTTTCTTTTCCCGTAGCGGGGCGGGAGGAGACCCGCGACTGGTGGGACCAACGCGGCCCACGCCTTAGGCCCGTACAAGATGTACCCCCCGCCTCCCCCGCTCCCCCCGCCTCTGCCTCTCGCCATGACCATCTTAGATGCACTAATCGGGTACTGGAGGGGAATACTTTTGAGCTGGCAGGGTCGCTCTGTCGATGCGTACTGTCCTAGTACGATCAACGTTCAGCGTCAACTATATATATGTATGTGTGTTGAACTTCTTTCACACCGTACGTAGCCAGTTCCACTAATCCGAGGTGCGTGGGGCTGCCCAGAAATTGCATTTTTTTCATTCTGCTCGACCCCCGGTGAGCATCCGGTTCCCCACCCCCCGCTTGATAGCTACAACCGCGACTTGCTCCTAAATTTCACCTCTCCCGCCGCCACGAGCCAAATAGCCGTGGGGCATTAAGCGGCGCGCGCTGACATTGACGCTGCCGCCCCCAGGCTGGGCACCTGGCTGGCCACGGCCTCGCGCTGAGGGGGCAGCCGCCTCCCGCAGGACAGGCCTCACCGCAGGAAGACGGCGCTCGCTCCGAGGAGGCCGACATCGTCACGGTAAGCGCAACGGGCGTCCTCCGGTCGGCGCCGGAGCCCGAACTTGACTTTTTCCTCGCGTCTCCGCCGATCCAAATAAACCCTTTGACTTTTACCTCTTCAAACTCTTCCCCAGATGTCGCCCGTCTCACGCAAGCGGAGCCTTCGCAACAGGAGGATGCGACCGGTGTCGCGTGCCTTCGGTACGCCCCCCCCACCCGCCGGCGTCTGCCGGCGCTCGTGAGATTTTAACTCGCGGTTTTCCCGTCTCGTCGTTTCGTTTCCTTCCTGGTGAACGCACGCGCCTCTCCCCACAGCCGACGGTGTGCTGGATGGCGGAGCCGCGGCTGCGACGGCAGCGCCGCAGAAGGGCGGCACGAGCGAGCCGCCGCCGATGGACGTGTCGGAGCCGCCGCCAGGAGATGCGGGGAGGCTGGAGCACGTGACCAAGGGGAGACCCAAGAAACCGGGTCGGCCGGGGCGGCAGCACCGCCCGTCCGTCTCCGCAAGTCTCCGCGGTGTTGTGAGTGCTCGTCAGCAGTCGCACGAGGCGGTCACGAGCGCGGGATCCATACCAAAACGCCACGACCCTACTGCGAATGGCTCACACGGGAATCGCGATCCCCACGTTGAAGAAATTCTCACTTTAATGGGATTGGAATAAGGATTTCGCTGCAGTAAAACTCTCCCAATAGAATCCCATTCATTGCAATAGAGATGCAGGAATTGCCATTCAAATTAATCGGAACTTTTTGAGAGCCTACGAATAGGCCCGTAGAATCCGCGTTCATTTAAGTGGCGATTTTCCCGAGTTGACCAGGCCTCACAGGTCCTGCTGTCGTGCCCGATGCCCTGACTTGATTTCTCAGTTGCTGTGACCATGCACGGACAATGACGTTGTCTATGTGTGCGGTTATGTTCATCGTAAATATATTATAATGGGTAACGGAGGTTAGTTTATATGACCCCACACCTCTACACTGACCTCTGCCACCACATCCCTCCACCGACCCCCTCCCCCCACTCCAGCAGGATGAGGGAGCTGTGGATGAAGGAATCGCTGAGTTCTTCACCAAGAAAGTCCTTCCTCCTTCAGCCAGGCTCCAGTGAGAAGCACAAACCGGCAGTCATCATCACTGTCACCACCACCATCACTGTCATCATCATCACCACCACCATTGTCACCATCATCACTACTATCGTGACCATCATCGTTACCATCAGCATCACTCGTGTCACCATCATCTTAATGTTCATAAGTAAACACTACCACCATCAACACCATCATCGGCACACACCACCACCTCCATTATCATCACCTGCCGTCACCCCCACCACCCTTGTAAAATCAGCTGCAGTTGTACAATACAGGGCGGCAGAAGTGATCTCAATGTTATGCTCCTACTCTTGTTGCTCCTTCTGCTGCTGCTGCTCAGGGCTGTGGGGACAGAGAGGGGACAGCACCCACATGGCAGGAAGGGCAGCTTCTTCTCCTTCCTGAAGCCCTGGGCCCCACGCCCACCGCAGCTCACGTCTCAGCCCACCTTGGAGCTGGGCCCGGCCTCCACAGCGCCCGACAGGTGTGTGTCCGGCCACACCACACGGCTGGAGCGGGAGAGTATTTTGAACTCGTAGAATTTGGATTCTGGGAGTCCGAATACTATTTGGTATGCGGTCCTTACCTGGGGTGCAAATTCTGTAATATCAATATGACCCACCTCCTCATTCCCCACCTTTCCCCCACTGCCTGGGGTAAAAATTATGGTTATGCCAAGGGTTCTGACACCTCTTTTGGTCAGCGTTAAGACTTGCGGAGGGTTTAAAGCCCACAGGGGGAGGTCCATATAGTGTGTAGAATTCTGATGCCCTGCATACCAGGGTAAAAAGTATATGGAGGTCAAAATATTGTCTCACACCGGCACCGCCTGCACACACCACAACAACAGGCGTCATTCACCACTAAGCGGCTAGGTGCACTTTGAGGCCCACTTAGATGACTGGCAGATGCACCACCTGTGCTCCCTACTGCGCCGACTTGCTGTGTTTGAGCCACCCGGCGTCCCACTCTTTGTTGTGAGCGCCGCTCCTCCGCCGTTGTTTGCAGGTGACTGCCTCCAACTGCCCAGTAGTGTCCTGCCTCCTGCGCAGAGGCCGATCTCGACACCACTGGTACCTCTTATTTGGTTCTTTCGGTAAAGTCACATAGAATGAGAATAAAATAATAAATTGATAAAATAACACAATAAAATTATCATGACGTTTCGGCCACAACACAAGCGGCCTTCATCAGGTGAAGGGACGAGACTGTCTGGAGGACAGCGCTGGAGCGAAGGCCGCTTGTGTTGTGGCCGAAACGTCGTGAGAATTTTATTGTGTTATTTTATTTTATCAATTTATTATTTTATTGTCATACTACGTGACTTTACCGAAAGAACCAAAGAAGATGAATCCTTGCAGTCACGAAAGCTTTAAACCACTGGTACCGGTCATCGGCAAGTCCAATCAGCTCCACGTCCTCCTGTACTGCATCTTCTCCAGCCCGTGCCATGCCCATAATCGGAAATCCTTAACTTGACGCGTGTCCCCGCGTGTGCCCGCTTTTCCGCCACGTAACCCCGTGTGTTATGGCGCGTCGCAGTGTGTGTATGTGTTCCCTGTGTGTCCCTGTTCTGGCGTGTCTCCACGTCTCCCCACGTGTCCTCACGTGTTCACACGTGTCTCCACATGTTTCAGTGTGCCCCCGTTTCTCCCCACGTATCCCCACGTGTCTTCAGCTCTGAGTCGTCGCTGCCGCCGCCGGCAGTAAAGAAGGACGCGGCGGAGTTGGCGCGGGAGGGCCCCACGGAGGCGGTCACAGCGACGGAGGAGGCGGCGTCCCCCGTGGAGCGGTGGCGCATGTTCGGCGTCCCCGTCATGATGCCGCCCCTTCCGGCTGGGCTGCCATCCCAGCACCCTGATCTCACCTCCGGCAGGACCAAGGTGACCTGATCACAGCGTGCGTTGCACACCATGTGACCTTCGCTTCCCGTTTCTCCCTCTCGTTCTTCTCTTGAGTTCCTCTGCCGCCCGAGGACAGTACCACGGCACGGGTTCCCTCCATCCGACCCGATCCTGGCTACCCGGCAATCCACTCTCGGGTTTCAGAGGCAGGGCTACGGATGAACGACAGAGGAGGTGTCCCCCGCGCCTTCCACAGCGGCGGGGTTTAGGCGACACGGTCGCCGGACGCAGTTGAACGTCGCGCCCAGGACGTAATTTGGATTTTCCCAAGCGGACAAACGCGTCCGCACCCCGGGGGGGGGGGGGGGGGGGGCGCTGCACAGGACGCGCATCTTGCACATCGCAGCGAGGACCGAGTCGTTTAGCATCGCGCACCCTCTTCACCCGCCCTGCCTTGTCTCCCTCGCACTCCCGCGCTCCTCCTGTCTGTCTGCCCACTCCCCCTGCTGCACGGTGGCGGGTGGATTTCCGTCGTCCGCAGAAATCGGATTCGGTCAGCCAAGACGACGACTCCACGGAGAGCAAGAGCTACGTCCCGGGGCCTGGAGGTCAGCCAGGTCCATGACCCCTCCTCTCCTTCCCATCTTCCATCCCTCCCCTCCCACCTTCCCTCCCTCCCCTCCCACCTTCCCTGACTTACGGAAGACAAATGAACGATCATTTTAGCCTGGATTCACAAAAAATATGTCCGAAAGTAATACATAATAATATTAACATTTCGATTTAAAGCTTTCGTGACTGCAAGGATTCATCTTCTTTGGTTCTTTCGGTAAAGTCACGTAGAATGAGAATAAAATAATAAATTAATAAAATAAAATAACGTCGTGAGAATTTTATTGTGTTATTTTATTTTATCAATTTATTATTTTATTCCCATTCTACGTGACTTTACCGAAAGAACCAAAGAAGAATATTAACATTCCAAAAATAACTTACAATGTGTTTAACAACAAATCATAACAATGATGATGAAAACGGTTACAAAGATTACTTCGTCAGGAGTAGCTTCAGGGTTTCTTGAACGCTGCCGTTGGGCTGCGGATCTGCGGCAGCTGTGTCCAGCCGGTGACACTGTGCGCTGCCGTGACGTGGCGACACCATCAGAGTTTGGGATTTTAACTTGGAATTTTTGTATCATTGAACAGGAGAAATGTATTCGGGAAATGTAATATTACAAAAAAATGCAATCTTGAGCGCTGTGAAACGCATGCACGGCGTAAGGTGTGAAGCGCGTCCCGAAAAGATGAATCGCTTAACTGCGAATTCGCGCTACGCGGGGGGGTGGGTGCCCGTTAATCCAAGGATGAGCGTGTTAAGAAAAGACGACGCGATTGTAATCGCGTCACATGATGCAAACAGGAAAAAAATTACGAACACTCATGAGCACGAAACGGAGAGGTGTAGCCACAGGAGGAAGTCGGAACGTGGCGTTCCGCATGTGACTTGTAACTGACCGTAAGCTCATAACAACAACAAAAATAATGATTTAATACATTTGGTATCGCGGGTATAGGCTGCCAGTCGAGGGATGGTGTAGTTGCCAATTTGCAAGTAATTTATATGAACAAAAAGTAAAGTTTACCCGTGGCGTCCACTCTTTTTCTTATCGAATAACACCGCAATTTTTGTTTTATATATTCCCCGCACACACAGCAGCGTAGCCACCGCCCGGCGTAGTATTCACATTCGGTATTAACCAGGACGGCCGGGAGGTTCTCTGACCGCATATCTCTGCTCGACCGCGTCCCTGTGCCTTGGCTTCTAAAAGCCGGGCACGGTGCGGTTGGTCGGATCTCCGTCGCCCGATTCGCCGCGAGTGTTGCGTCTTCGCTGGCTCGGCGGCGGTGCGCGTGGCACCCGCGGTGACTCGCGGTCGGCGTCACCCCGCAGGCTCCGGAGGGGAGAGGAGGATGACCGCGCGGCGCCGGGCCCTGCAGCCGCCCACGAGCCGCGACCTCCGCGAGGACGACGGTGACGCGGCGCCGGAGGGCCCCGCGACGGCCGTCCGGCGGTGCCGCCCCAACGCGCCCAACGGTACGCGGCGGCGGCGGCGGCGACGTCATCGTTGTGGGCTGCGTTCAGTCCGCTGCTGGATGACGGCTTCCCCAAGTTGTCACCATCTCTCGTGGTCTTGCAGTGCAACAATCCGTCCAGCTCCATCTCTTGCGCGGTGGCGTGTCCCCTGCCTTGACTGCCACTGCATTTTTTCGTCTCGACCACCGCCTCGTTATCCGAGTTCGATTCCCGCTCATGGCCAACACCAGTGACGATTATCTGATCCGGTGCTGGGTCTCCTCCCCTACGTAGACTTGGCCTCAAATTAATACCTGGTACGGTGTGTAAACATCGCCACTGGGGAGACAAAGGCTGTCGGCGTGGTGCTGGTCACCCACCCCCTCGTGGACCGTTCCGGCCTTCATAGGTGCTCGCTGACAACACTTGCTCCTAAGGCTATACGGGGGATCTTTGCTTTTGTGTCCACTCACGCAGGGGATGAGGGAGATGGCGAGGAGAATGCTCCGAGCGAGCCACAAGCGGCCTCCTCCCCTCGAATTCCGAAGAAGCACGAGGCCGACCCGGCGCCCAAGGGGGCGGTCCTCCCCCGGGCCGCCCTGCAGCCTCCAGGTGAGCATCGCGGCGCCGGCCACACGGGGGGCCCGTACGCGGGCCACGTGGGCCTGCGTGGGTCCACGTGTGCGCGCACTGTCGTTGCGTTGAGGTTGATGCTCGTGGTTGCATTTGGGTCCATGTTTGTGGTTGTGAGGAGGTTGATGTTTGTGGCAGCGTTGAGGTCCGTGTTTGTGGTTGCGTCAGCGCCGTTTCTTCTGCGGCGGTGGTGCCAGCACCAGCGCATGATGGCGAGCGCCGCGCATCCGTGTGCCCGGGCGCAGGTTCAGCAAATCGGTGCCGCCCGGCCTCCATGGTAGAGGAGGGCAGCCCCAGCTCGGTGGAAGACCACGTCTTCTCTGACCCTGCCCACCAATCACAAGCCTCGGCGGCAAGACCCGTCACGGCGGAGGCGGAGCCTCGGAGGTCACGGAGGATGATGGTGAAGTGCCACTCGCTGGGGCAACAGGTGGACGAATAGCCGGTACGATGGAATGCCCGCAAACTCTACGGGCGTCGCGTGCCAAATATCACGCGGCTCTTAACGTTTGCGACCAATATCCTTCGAACGCCAACAACCACGGACGGCCCAATTCCTACCGTGCTGTATGCGCCGAATGATCGGTGATAAGCACGTGTCCTGTATGTTGAACTTCTTTTGCACCGTACGTAGCCAACTGTGCTAATCGGAGGTGCGGGGGAAGGACAACAAACTAGCAATTTCAATTAGCCTCGCAGCGTCACGCGGGGACGTGTTTACTACTCGTCAGGTTGCATGCAGTAGGGGTAACCGACTTAACGTCACTTTTTACGGAAAAGACCGGTGAACGTGCAAAGATGTTCCACGGTGAGTGGCAAAGGACTGCAGTTTGTGAAACCCTAGCTCACCCCAATTGCCCGGTGAGTCTCGTTTAATCTCAAGTGCCATCTCACCCCCCCTCGCCCCCCGCTAAGTCCTCGCTTTTTCGCGCATCCGACACCAATGAGGAAGTCGCCCTGATGCCCACCCGTCGCATCCACCCACAGTCAACCGCAACAGCTTCTGCAGCTCCACGCTTTTGTTGGATTCCCCGTATCCGTCGTGAGTCACAACGTCGCTTGGCTCGTCTCTGATGCCGCGTGGCCGCAGCGAAACGTGCCAGCTCGATTTCGCGAGCCGGGCTGGCGGACTCGCCCAGGTTCCCATGGCAGCCGTACCAGACCGGGCCCGACGCTATTGGGGCTGGGGCACCGGGCCCACGGTATCCCTGTCATCAGCAAAGATACGGCTCTTTCATCTGCACTGCCCAGAGAAGCAGGCCGCACTCTTGCAAATGAGACCCTACCCGGCTCTCTCGAGCTCGTCTCCCGGCTAAGCAATTAACCTCGTCCTGAAGGCCACAGGGTCAACACAGATAAGGGAATGAGTTGGCAGCAGCGTCCCTTAGCGCAACTCCAGCAGCTGCGACTTGTTTCACGTCATGGACTTTAACTGAGCCCGTTTGTGAGGCCACTGTTGGACGAAGTGCCTCGCCATGCCATATCGGTAATGGGGGTTGTTTGACCATACTTCACCGTGCTGGGCAGCGCCGGTTGTTAACTCATCTTAGCTCGATTTAACTCTAGACTACGTTAAACTAAAACTTTTGTTTTCCTGTTAACGCTCGTTACCCACCGGCTGCAGAGGCGAAGGAGCAGGAGAGGCTGTGGCTGACGGCCCCGTGCCGTGCTGCTGATGCTGGAACAGGCCTGGGCCACCGAAGCCCCCCGCCTGCTGCCCCGGGTCGAAGGAACCGAGCTTGAATGAACCTCTTGAGCCGTGCGCTTGTCTCCCTTTAAGCGGTGCCTTATTTCACACGCGCTCATCTAACGGTCGCACGCTTCCTTGGAACGTGTTGCGTCGATGTGTTCAACTGTAAACCCTCAACGCGCGAGCGTCGCTCACTCCGCGGTGCATGTGAGCCGCGGGTGGCGGTGAGGGGCTGCTGGTTTAACTCTTGCTAGCGGGGCCACGCTCTGCGTTGTTGCCACCGGTTATTTTTCAAAACATGGGAATCACGTTTTCGGGATGGGTGGTGCAGTGATTCGCGCTCTGTGCTATGAACTCTACAACCTGAGTTCGATTCCCAGAAACGGGCCGATGCTGGGTGAGTAAAACACAGATTCCATTAATTTGGACCAGTTCTGGGCCTCCCCTAGGTCCAGAATCTGCTACAATGTGTAAACATCAACACAGGGGAAAGTAAATCGGCCGAGTGTAGTACCGGCCACATCTGCCCCTCTTGTGTGGCAGAGCCGGCTTTAATAAGTGCTTGCTGACAGCACTTGCCCTGACGGTCGTATGTAGGCTATACGGGGGACTTTTATACGAGGTCAAGGTATAAAAGAGCCACTCCCAGGCTCTGGGGTATCAGTGTTCATTGAATTCTTCCTTGCACCGAGAAATGGAAACTGAGATTTGCCAAGCCACGATCGCCCAAGGTCCGGCGCCTGAATATCACCAGGGCCCTGTCCTATGCTCCTCCCTACTGAGTCGTGCACCATTGCTGTTGACGCCATGAGCTGCTAGTGTCTCGTTATAAACTTGAACTCGCAACTGGTTTTGGTTTTGTTTTTTGAGCGTTCTGGATTGTTAATGTTATGGTCAGTATTTTTTCATGTTTTGCAGGGGCGGTATTTTAATAATTGTCGTTCTGCACTGTTGCTATGATTCATGCCAAGGAATGTTCAAGCAGTGCAAACCAAAGGTTGCCGTGCGTGTGCGAACAATGGTGGCTCAGTGGCACCGCGGCTGCGAGCGGATGCGCAGTGACCTCTACTTCGTGGGGGTTCCAGAGACTCGGCAAAATTATCTCACGCCGGGCCACAATCCCAGGCTGCAACGATGGGTTACTTAGCAACCACTCTCTTAACGTATCCCAAAGCGCACGCGGTACGCTCGGTAACATAACCCAGCAGTGTTTTGTTGTCGTTGGTTTTGTTGCTGCATGAAGGTGAATATGCTTGAATGGAAAGTGGTGTGTCAGTGATTTTCCACGTTAAAGAGACGGAAGGGTCCAGTGGAGAATGCGGCGGGAGGTGAGGATCGGGGTCAGAGAGACGCGGGTTGGCCGGGACACGAAGCCGCTCAAGTCTCCCGCTCGCTCCTCTTGGCAATGGGTTAAAAGCGATTGGAACCGCTACGACACTTGCGTTGATTCGCGATGCGTGCCCCGACTTGATGAGTCAAATCGCGAGGAGCGCGAATTGTTAGGGGCGGGTCCGTTGCCTTTCCTCCCGGGCCCCTCATCCATGCTGGCGCTCGGCAGACGCGTGCAGTATTGTAGCTGTTGAGTGTGCAGGCGGTGTCACTGCACCGGGGCCCACGGGCCAGAGGGCCCCAGGCACTGGGTTGCAAGGAAGGAAATGGTATACAAGGGGCCCCCATTTCATTCCTTGCAACCGGGGCCATGCTGACCAAGATACGTCGCACGGAGGACGCGTTGGCAAGAAGTCATGAGGACGTTCATCATGGGTTTTTACATCGAATTTATACCGTTAATACTTTTTATATAACAGTTGGTTTAATAGCTATGTAACTTGTTGGTAAACACGTGCAATGTCATGCTGTGCGCGCACTGTAAACCTGAATTAAATCGAGGTTCGCACTGACCCGTGAGCGGTGTATTTTAATAATCTGACATTTACACGATTTCAAACGTACGTTTCACTTGAAAGATATGGGTAATCAATTAAATGCAAGAAGTGGATTTTACTTATGTCAACAAAAAATAGGGCTGCGATGATGATGATGCAATTCATCTCTCCACCTTGATAGGGGAGAAATCCTCATGAAATGCCAAGGTGTCGGACATTCTCGCTCGAACTGTGACTGATCCACGTTGGGATGGTGATGGTGCCTTCAGTTTTGTGAACTCGTCAAACCAGTTCACTTATTCCATGAATAAGCCATATTTTATAAAACCACAGATTATTACTCGGTAAACAAGGAACGTTGGGCCAACGTTGCGTCTAAAGTTGGCCCAACGGTTCCAACCGCACGATTACTGAGTGAACTTCAAGATGACGACCCACGTTTGTTACGATTATTGTGAAATGTTGACTGTGTTGAGGGTGTCTACATGGTCCTGTTGTTGAGTGCTAATGCCATAGCAGCTGGCAGGCCGGCCCATCTCTTTATGACAGACCAAAGGGATGGTACAGAGAGACAAACAGACAAAGATCCCCCGTGTAGCCTTAACAGACTCTTGGGGAAAGTGCTCTTAGCGAGCACCTATGAAGGCCGGCACGGTACACGATGGGGTGGGTGTCCAGCACCACGCCCGACCGCCTTTGTTTCCCCAGTGGTGATGTTGACATACCGCACGAGGTACTCGTTTGAGGCTGAGCCGACCTAGGGGAGGCCCAGGACCGGTTCAGATAATCGTCACTGATGTTGGCCGTGAGCGGGAATCGAACTCGGGCTGCCGGGTTCATACTGCAACACTTCCACTCCCCACAGAGCCACCAAACACTACCACACACGTGGTCCAGACAGTTCACAAATTCACAGTGAGATACTCACGTGCTTTTCTGTCAACCAGTGATTTTCCGGTGAGTACTGATGAAGATGTCACGGGGCTACGAAGTGTCCAGGAGACTGCAGTACAGCAAGTAGGCTGTGTGGCCCTTTGCATCCAGCCAAGTGGCTTGGTAGTAGAGCAAGTGGCTCACAATTGAAAGTTCAAATGCTGGTTTGGGGTTGACTCATGGGGTATGGTAAAAAAATTAGTACCACTTTGTAGCAAGGTCAACAGTGGTTGTCCTTTAGATAAACTCGCTCCCGCCAGAGGAATGTGGAATTCCACCACTGGATCAGGGCTTTAAATGAGATACGAGCACCAATTACTCAATTAACACTTAATCAAAAACATAACTTTGACCATTGAGTGTTATCCCTTCGTATGCCTGGGGGCTTCTCTAGACCTGTGTACTCTGCTATCCCCCACACATGCAGTGCGCGCCTTAATGAAGCTGGCCAAACGTGTCCGTTCAGCAGGACACTTCCGAAAAGCAATCTTGAGAGTTGGCGAGGTCTATCATTCTTGGATAAATGACATTCCTAGAACATTGCGACAAAATAATCACTCTGGCAATTTCAGTGAAATCGGTACAGAAGTTATGCGGCCTCAGGTGGTAACAGTTTGATGGTAACTCTGTCGCGCAGTGCTTCTCAGACGATGTTATTCCACGGCACTCGTGCTTAGGAGCTTGCTCGACCTTCGCGGCCACACCGAACCACTGTGGGTCCCGTGTGGGTGGGTGGGTTGGTTGGTGGGAAAAGCATTGGTAGCCGAGAGAGAATTCAAAAAAGCTTTACCTTTTATTTGACTGATCTCATCGAGCAAATGCAGGCGGTGCTGCCGAAATCCGCGACAGGGAATTTTATTGTTTGACGAGTGGAGATGAATGTCACGAAGGACATTAAAGCTTCTAAAAGCTACTGTTTGCCCAAACCGCAGAAGTGCCCGACCGAGGAAGCTGCCGCCCAATGGGGAGTGCAGGGCGGGACGTGGGGGATGGATCGGCCACTGAACGGCACGAACGAGAGTTCGTCCATCCTAGTGACGTTTCTTGACTTTTTTCCTACGATTCCAAAGATGCCGTGGGCACAGCGGGGAATTTGCCACTACGGGCACACCGGTTGCGAATCGCTGCCCCGGGTGTGGGTTGGTGGGGTGGTCCTCATCGCAAGCGAGATCGCTTAACAGCAGTTTGGGGATAACGATGTCCCCCCGCACTGTGATTTGTGTGGTGTTTTGAGTGTCATGCGCTTCATACATTTTCTGTTAAATTTGCCTGGCTTTTGTTACAAAATGTTTCTTTGTACGATTTTTCATGCAAAATAAATTGCGTAGAATTTTTTTTTTTAACTACCGGTTAAATGTTTCGTCCGATTTTTCTCATTTAGAATTTCCACTTTTGTCTTGATTGTAACTCGCCGGTTTTGTCGTTCTGCACCGATGGCAACGGAGCAGCAGCAGCAGCAACAAATAATTTGTGAGGTATGGGTACTAAAATCATCATCAATGTGGAATGACCGAAAGATTACCCCAAGCCATATGCAGCCTAACGGCAATTTAAAAATAAACAACGGCCTCTGATTGGAGGAAAGAGGCCTCCGCGGTGATTGGTCGGGAGGCAGACTTTAAAGGGATTGCAGAATAGGGGTTGAACGGGAAAACAAAAAGGATCCATTAAAGGACGGACTGGCTCAAGGTAGAAAACAAGGAGGTTCGAGAAAGGGGGGCTGAGGGTTATATAAGTGGAGTGGGGACACTCGGAGGAAGATACAAGCAGGAAGACGAAGCCTAGGGTCTCTCAATCTATAGTAGGCTTCCGTATTGTGGACATCTTTAATAAAAGTGGCTCTTCTTATAACTTGTCGTCGGAGTCGTTACAAATGTATGAAAAATACGAATAGATTTTACCCTTTCTGGCAATAAAACAGGTGTTAAGATATTCCTTGGGTCTTTAGGCAAAGTCACGTAGATAGGTTCAAATCAAAATAACAAAAAACTGCGTTTCCATCGCAACACAAGCGTTCGTCTTTTCTTCCTGATGACCGATTGTGCTGCGATCGAAAAGTCGTAGTTTTTTTTGTTATTTTCTTTGAACCTATCTACGTGACTTTACCGAAAGATCCAAAGAATATGGATTCCTGCGGTCACGAAAGCTTTAAGTCAAGATTTAGGTGTTAAGATGTTCAAACACCAAATATATATCAATCTTGATTTGAAGCTCCCGTGACTGCAGAAATCCATACTCTGTGGTTCTTTCGGTAAAGTCGCGTAGGTAGAAAAATAAACTGAAACTAAAAATAATAAAATATCGAGACGTTTCGATCGTAACACAAGCGGTCGTCCTCAGGCGGAAAAAAAATATCCAGCAGTGGAAAAAAAAATCTAGCAGTAGAACTGCTAGATGTAGAAAACAAGAAGGTGGAACTGTATGCTTGGTTCTTTCGTTAAAGTCATGTAGAAGGGAAATAAAAAAAATAATTAAAAAATAAAACAACGCAATTAGCTCTGTTCTTCACCTGAGGACGGCTGCTTGCGTTGTGGCCGAACACGTGAGAATTTTATTTTATTACGTTTTATTTTGATTAATTTAATATTTACCTTCTACGTGACTTTATCGAAAGAACCAAGAATATGAATCCCTGCAGTCACGAAATCTTTAAATCGAAAAAGGTGGAACTGCTGGATTATTTTTTTTTCAGCCTGAGGACGACCGCTTGTGATATTTTTATTTTCATTTAATTTTTTTACCTCGTGACTTTACCGAAATAACCAAATAGATACCTTTGCAAGGCATCAAGTACTGCATTAACCACACATGGTAGTTGTGGTGAACATTAAAACAAACATGCTCTGATAATAATGGCATTGTCTTTGAAACTGATTGTCCTACACCAGAGGACAGCCTTGTTCTTTAGGGGCCGTCCATAAATGACGTCACGCGATTTTGGACGATTTTTGACCCCCCCCCCTCGTTACAAAAAGTCAGACCCCCCTCAAATATGACGTCAGAAAGGTCTGCCCCCCCCCCCAAAACCATATTTCCATTTAGAAAATAAACCATGCTTCAAATCGCTTTAAACTATTGTCATTGTAGTGCGTATTTAATGTGGCGCTGCACTCTGATGTTGTAGGAGAAAACATTTATTAAAAAGTCAATTTAATTAAGTAGAAGTGTTGTCTATATTTATTTAAAGTTGCGCATTTTGATGTGACGTCACATTCCTCAAACCCTCGTCACACATCGTCACAAATGTCTGACCCCCCCCCCCCAGGTGCGTGACGTCATTTATGGACGGCCCCTTATGGCCTAGTCTCACCACCAGTGACAGACCAGAGAATCACGCCAAAAGGCGGACAGTACAATAACAATGCACATGTCAGAGCATTATAGCAGGTCACACGAAAATCAATGTTTGTGGTGTAATACAGGGGCCGTACATAAATGACGTCACGCACCTGGGGGGGGGGGGGGTCAGACATTTGTGACGATGTGTGACGAGGGGTTTGAGGAATGTGACGTCACATCAAAATGTGCAACTTTAAATATAGACAACACGTTCTACTTAATTAAATAGACTTTTTATGTTTTCTCCTACAACATCAGAGTGCAGCGCCACATTAAATACGCACTACAATGACAATAGTTTAAAGCGATTTGAAGGATGTTTTATTTTTTTTGGAGGGGGGGGGGCAGAGCTTTGTGACGTCATATTTGAGGGGGGGTCTGACTCTTTGTGACGCCGTGTGACGAAGGGGGGGGGTCAAAAATCGTCCAAAATCGCGAGACGTCATTTATGGACGGACCCACAGTATTGTGATTTACTGACATTTCATATCCTGTCGTGTTTTTGCACCTTGTTTGCGGTTGTAACTTTCTGACCCCGTGCACCGACTGGATATCTGTTTAAAAAAAAGAGCTTTATAGTTCGTCGGATTCCTCCTGCAGTAAAAATAAAGATTCTGATTTTGAGTGTAAAAATAGATTATTTTCTATTCCTACGAGTTAGGTGCAATGAGTTATCATGCAAAAACTATTCAAAAGTTATAATAATAGGGGTTTTTCCCCTTTTTACTGGCAACAAAACTTAA